TCCTATTTCAAGACTTACCCATGTGATGACTCAGCAGGCAAGCCGACAGAGAGAAAGAGGCGAAGGACAAGGCCAAGGAGGCGAAGGAGGAAGAGGAAGACGACGAAGAGGCAGGGTTGGTTATTGGGGTAACTTTCCCATTCTTTCCAGGGATCCTTTTTTCTAGAAAACCATAACAATCCTTGGGGAAATGGTTGGTTTTTGAAAAAGAACGATGGCTGAAAAGAAAGGGGAATCAACCCCTAGATCGGTGCCAATATTGGGATGTGTCTTTCTTAAGGGCCCACCAAAAATGGTTGTTCGCCTGTTCGTTTCCATTTAAACCAACAAACAAGTACCTGGAGTCTCCGTGACCGTGACCCTTTAAGAATGGGGTCATGACCCCATGATTTTGGATGATGACCCCATTTTTAAGGGGTCATGGAGACTCCAGGTACCCTCAAAAAGATTCGGTCGGGTGTTTGGGGAGTTCCTGGAAGTAGGAGAAGCCAAGGATGAATCAAGGGCTTAAATCCTCCCACATCCTTGATTGAAGGGAATCGATAGGCAGTGAATGAGTTGGAATGACCCCGAGAAGAACCATCATTATGGTTTATGCACACGGAAGGTCATTCCCTACTGACCACCAGCCAGTTGTTTGGCAAATCATTTTGCCCCGAAAATTCTTCACCGTGGGACCCAACCCTGTCAGGAGGCGCTCAGCGAAAAAGACCGGGCAAAACTGGAGGAAAAGAGAAGAAAAGAGGAGCTTGTGAAGGAGGCAAAGCGGAAAAGCGAGCAAAAAGCAAAAGCTCTGGAACAGTTGAACGATTTCCTGTACAGATCCCTTAGCCACTTGGCAGAAGGGCTCCATGACTCACCTGACTGATGCGTGCTCGTCTCATCAGTATTTACTTCCAAGGTTCTTCTCTGTCTGATTGAGTATTTGCACATGTCCTTCTAGTATTTTAAACAACTCTTGAAAAGGCCGGATGAAGGCTTTGGTGCATTTTGCCTGGATGTTAGGACTTCCAACTAATGGGTTTTCCATTAAACCACTAAAAGTTAAACTTTTAGCAGGGGAGCGGAAAGCGACCGAGAAGGGGTATGTTCGGGGAAATCCGGAGAGTCCTGTCAAGAGAATTCGGGGACCCGTCAGAGGAAAAGTCTTGAACTGCTTGGATTGGTGGTGGCATATTGTGGCTGGGACAAAATCTTGAACCATTGTTGGTATTTATGGGGGAGTCATCCTTTCAGGGTTTCTTAGGTGGTGCAGGAATTCGTTCATCCACAGTAGTAAGAAAGCCCTCGAACTTATGCACCAAGCGAAGCAACTCTTTGACTCGAGAACCCTGCGCTTGTATTTGAGGCAATTTGATTGCCCCTCGGCTGCAGGTTCCGAGGGATGGGTTCGTGGCGTTCGGCTTGTTTGAATGGCTGAAATTCGCTTGTTGACCTGACACCTCTGGATCGCAAACTGGGAAATTGACCTTGCCATCCCAGAGTGGTGGCGCCCACTGAAAATGGATACGACGCGGGATCCCACTTTCTATTTGTCCTTCTTCTTTTTTTTCGGGGGGGGGGGGGGGGGGGGAGCCGTTTTGCCGGCACCCCTCAATTGGTGGTTTGGATTGGTGGGTTGGGAATTTGACCCGCTGGCCTAGAGGGTGCCTAAACCACCAATCGAAACCCCCAATTGGAGGGAAGCCCCAGTTGTTCAGTGGAACCCTTTTCCCTTTTGATTTGGCAGCTTCCCACTAAAAACAATCAATCCAAAATAAAAACCGTTTAACCTTGAATCTTCTGACGTTCAAACAGCCATTTTTTCAAGTCAGGGGCACACACTAAAGGGATGCATATCACACCTTGGGCCCAGATTTGTTTCATACCATTGCTTGCCTTTTATCATTTCCAACCAACTGCGACACTCCCTGCCCCTCCCAGCCATCAGCTCGTCACCTGCCTCTGGCTGCCCATGCCCCACAAGAGCTGGCACTTGTTCCTCATTTCTTTGCATAAGTTTCCGCTTCTGGCAGGCCCTGAATGGCTGGCTTTAAGCCCTCCAAAACAAAGTCTGGGATTTGCCCAGGCGGTTGGGGTTCGCAGGCAGGCAGCTCATCTTTGGCCAAGTCATAATTGAGCCAGGCCCTGTCGTGGACCTCCCTGAGCTGTGCCCACACATCCCCAGGGTTTGAGGCGTCAAACACTTTGTTGTGGTGTTTTCTGGCAAGCTCATCTATCCACTTCTCACTCTCATGCTTCCACACTGACCCCCACCAGTGGTCGTTGTGGTTCAGATAAAACTTGCATTTGGGGGGGCTGAGCAAATCAAGCAATTCAGCAGGGCTCTTGTAGACGTTGGGCCTAGCAACAGGACGCGCTTCAGCACCCATTCCTTGGGAAGGGTCTGAAGTCCCTGCACCTCTGCAAAAGGTTGCTGCATCTCCTTTGGAGGAAGCTCAAGGCTGCCCCAACCCTGAAAAATCTGCGTCACCGGTGTCTCCATGGTTGAAACTTCGGGATTATTGATTGTGGGTCCCCTAGAAAAAGACATACCCACACTGCTGGCTGATGCAGCGGGGGGTCAACGCACTAGCCAAGAAAGCAAGACACATGCAGCCTCTACAAAATGACCGGATTTTGCAGCAACTCATTTTGCAGGGAAAAACAACTCATCCTCTACAAAATGGTCGTTTTTTTTTACAAAATGTGTGCACCTAGCACCCAAAAAGACAAAAGTTTGAGCTCGGGGCATGGGCAAGATGACCGATTCGTCCGATGTGAACGGCTCATGACTCATGACCCATCGTGGCTTTGCAGCACTGGCAGCTTGCCTAAGCGAGCACCGCTTTATACAAGCGAAGCTGGAATCACTGGAAGATTTGGAGCTGATTGCGAAGCTGCACTCAATATGAATCCGTACATGCTTGGCTGGAGCGCGCGATGGGGCAGAGAGCATACCCCAACCTAATCCGATTTTCGAGGAGCCCCTCGCAAAATGTATATCTTCCTTCCTAAAAGGGGGCTCAAGCCACCCCTGATTGGTTTGCTCCGGATGTTTTCTCCGAGGTTCAATATTTGCTTGAGCGAAATGCGACACGGGTCCACCGCGCCAACGCGCTCGGACGCTGAGGATGTCATCGTGCGCGCTGCAGTGCGAAACCACTGCTGGATCCTAGTGGAGGGCGGCCCAACAGGCCCAGGTTTATCGAACCCTTTCGAGCTCGTCCGCGCGGATGGCGCACGTTCCCCAAACCTCACTTCCTGAGCTCCGTTTCGGACTTTATACAAACGGTTTTTGGGGAAGACCATCTTGGTGGTACCTGGAGACTTCTTCTGACCTCTAGAAAAAGGGGTCATAACCCCGGATGTTTTGGGCAATGACCAACCATTTTTCAAGGTCAGAAGGAGACTCCAGGTGAATAAACCGTTCCTGGACTTTGTTTGGCCAATCCACTCAGGAAGCTCAGAATATGTGTAAAAATCCAGGGCCCATTTTTTTGGGGCGCCCCAAGGAAAATTGAGGGATTTTCAAGTGGGTGTGGCTCAAAAAGGACCCAAGGTTACGCAGGTTTTAGTCTACTTTTCCATTTACCAGGGTTCCATTTTGGTCAAAACTCTGGCTTCAAATAGTGCCTGAGGGGGGGGGAAACCAAAAGGAGGCTGTTGATGGGCTGTCGCAAGCCTGGTCCTCACATGCAAATCCGAAATACCCACGTTGTTTTTAGTAGGATGCATGTTCAAAGACTTGGTTTTCCAATGGCGGTTTAAGAAATGTGTATTTGGAGTAGGGGGTTGCTTAGTCTCACCTGCCCAAAGCAAGCTATGTGTTTTGCTTGGTTGGTATTGTTTCAAGAATTCCAAAAGGTGTGTGTGTGTGTGGGTGTGTGTGTGTGCGTGTGTGTGCGTTTGTGTCTACAGACACCCTTGAATCAAGCTAGTAGTGGCACTTGGGGAATTGGGTGGTTGAAAGTGCCTCTGATGTTAGGGATTCTAGTTTGGTGGAATTTGCTAGTTGGGATGCCTTCTCCTTTACCCAGTTGAGGCTTACAAGATTCCACCCCCTTCCCCAACAAAGAAAAGGAAGAGATAGACTACGGGTGCATGTCCAGCCTCACGTGGGGGGTACTTTTGCATATATGTTTCGTTCCTTCTTTCCTTTTGATCTCCTGTAAGACAAATTTTGTGTGTGGCGCAAAACTAAACAACTGGGGCAAACCGCGGGTTTCAGTCTTTGTTTGTGGCTCGTTTTCGACTCACAGCCATCTGCGTGTGCGGTTCCGTGCCCTTTTGCCCAAGCACGCACGCTCGGAGGCGGGCTCTTGCTCCTGAAGCAGGCGGTGGAGAGATGCAAAGAGCGACCCGTGGTGCTGGTGATGGATAGCTTCAGGAAAAAGCGATATCCGCAGCTGGCCTCAAAACCCGAAGGGCGCCTAAGGGAGTTGTGCGATACATTTTTTGACCGAAACCCGAATCCAATCTCAGTGGAGCCCAAAGCGAATCGACCTGAAATGACCTGTTCCATTGCCAGTGGGCCATGTTTAGTCAAGGCGCCAAAAGCTTGACCTTCCGTTTGTTGGTCCTCTGAGTACTCACGTGGAACCTTTTTTAACGGGGTGGTGTTGCCAAGTTGGGAACCAATTCCTTGAGAATCTTCGCTGTTTGTGGCTCCCTTACAATCTCCATCCTAAATACGCCCCCTTATTAGGGAGGGTATTCTTGGGGATGTCTTTTTTGAGGGTACCACTTTCTTGCGGTTTATTTTTTTTATTACCAAAAGGAAAACAGAATCCAGTGTGTAACAAAAGAACAGAGACACCCACCCTTAGAGTCTTGCTGCTCAGGGAATCACAAGGGAGGGAATGAACCTGGGGCTTCCCTGCGGGAAAGCTTTTCGCCATGTCTTAGGTACGCTGAGGTGGAGGGGTTTCTCGAGAAGGACTCGCTGTGCCCGGCCGCTGAAAAGATCATTTTGGCCAGCTTAGTAAGTAAGTCTGGACTCCACTTTGGGGGACTGACAAGTGCACATGGATGATAACCTACTGTGGATGGTTGCGAAATCCGTTCGCACCACTTGGAAACCATGGTTCACACCATTGTTCGTTGGTATTTACAGGGTCTTAGGTGGTGCAGGATTTCGTCCATCCACAGTAGGTTGCCAACAATTTACTAACTTGGCCGAACACCCAAGCACCCTTTGTACTAGTGGGGGGGAGTAGCATTGGCAAAAAGGATACCTGGAAGATAAATATCCTCTTGACCCTCTGTGAGGTCGCACTTGGGAGGGAGGGCACTTTAAACAAGCTCTTTTGTTTTAACTCTTTAAAGGGAGAGATTCGATTCGGGTTTGTTTTAGAGAACAAACGGCAACCTGTGCCGTCAACACAAGGTTGATCGAATGTTCCTGTCACTCTGGAAATGTTGCCCCATGTTGCCCCCTGTAGGAAGACAACAAATACAAGACCAAACAAGCTCCTGGCTCCCCTTTTGTTTGGTGTATTTCCTAGGTACTGTTTGGCACTTGAAAACCAATTAGAGACAGGTTTTTCAGGGTTTAAACAGTTGTTGCTAGACACAGTGGGACCCTAACAAGTGGTGTATATTTCAGCATGTTATTGTGCAGGGGAGTAAACCAAGCTTTGCACCAAAGGTGGGCATTTTCCGGGGTCTGGTTGTTTGAGCCAATTTGTGCAAGCCATCCCCGAATTTGAGGAACCTGCAACCAAGTAATTTGCAACCTCTGTTTATAAAGCAACAGTGGCACTCCGAAGCCGCAGCCTTTTGTGAACGCGCAACCACAATTTGCAACAGGACAACCCCTTTGAACGCGCAACCCAAACAATTGAACCCACCCCTTGTTGTTTACACCAAGTTTTGGCAATGTCTGTATACCTTGGGTTTAAGGACAAAGCCGTTATTTTTTTTGCGGACGCCCATAAAACCTCGAAAAAGCCCGCCACACATCGCCAGGTCTCCTTTCGGTCAGGAGAAGCCAACTAGTCCAAGGGTTTCCTGTAGGTGTTCATTCATTGTGCATTGGTGCAACTGAGAAGCCCCCAGCTCGTTCTCCCATGGCTTCAAGGGCCTTGGGTTATGCCCAAAAAAAGAAACCGCATCAAGGACCTTGGGGAAGATGCTTTTGCATTTATATTCGGATGCCCAAACAAAAAGCAGCGGGGAAAAAATCCACCGCCTTTTGTTTCTTCTGTTCTTCTTTTCTTTTCTGTTTTTCCTCTTCGGTCAGGAGAAGCCCAAAAAAGAAAAACATCCACCGCCGTTTTTCCTTCTCTTTCTCGGTGAGGAGAAGCCCAACTCCTTGAAGCATCTGCTGAAGAAGGACCCGCAAGGCCTCCAGCAGACCTTGGAGGCCGCGGGCCTGGAGCTGGCGAACCTCCTCAAGGACGATCACCAGGCGCTCGATCCGGGCCCCAGAGCCCCGGGACTCTGGGAGAGACCCTTTTGACCGATCCGAGGCGATGCCGCAGGGCTGGGGGGGCGTGGATTTTTTTTTTTTTTTTTCGATTTTTGCGGATGATGGGGCCAGGTGCTTTAAGGCTTTAAAGGGATCCAGCACTGGGCATTGTTTATATATGTTTTCCAGGGGCGAAAAAGCAAATGGAGGTTTGCAGGTTGGGTTGCTTCACTGGACATATCCCTAGGAGCCCAAGACCTCTTTCATTCTTTGAGGCCTTTTAGAAATTCAAGGAACCTCATATTTGTCTAAGAGCCTGGGGTCTTGCCATTTTCCCCAGCCAACAAAAATCCATTGGAAGATTGCAGGTGTTTGTGTTGCTTCAGGTGGAAGGGTTCTGGAAGCTACCTCCGAAGACCCGGCCGGCATGTTCAGTGGGGAAATTTGTCGACCGAATTTCTAAAAAAGGAGGAGTTATGTGCCATGGAAAACCGGCTCTCCCAAAAAATACCCTGAAAAAAAGCGGGAATTTTGAGTAGGGGGTATATCATACACGTCTGTCTTTTTTTGAGGGTGCCGTTGGTGGGGTGGCTTTAAAGGGAAACCAAAAGCGGCCCTTTAAAGGGCCTGAAAGAAGACTCATCCATACAATCATTTGTAGAGTCCTTCTAACCAAAAATGAGTAGAACCAAAGGTCAATGGGTGAAGCGGGCGCCACAAGTAAATTGCATGAAGGGCACTTTAGCAGCGCAAATAAAAGAACACTGGCCACTTTAGTAGGGCTTCGATCGTGTGGAGTAGGTGGTTCTACTGCTATGAGGCCTATATAAAACTTACAACCATGTGAGTCGAACGGTTGTGGGCGCTGCTCAAATCCGACAGGGGAAATTGTTTGGAACAAGTGATGGTATACCACCATGCGAGCGTGGCACCTTGACTTCATAGTTGTGTTTGTAGCTTTCTTTTTTCTTTCTTTTTTTCTCTTTTTTTTTATGAGGGGGTCCATGTTCTGAGTAATTTGTCCCAAGAACGATTAATTTTCGGGATAGCATCCTAAGGCTAGCGTCTGAAAACAGGATGGCAGACCCCTTGAAGAAATAGGTGGTTTTGTGTTGGCTTGCCTTTAGAACAACCCCAAAGCGCAACAAGTAGATGATTCCGTGTTGTTGTTTGTTTTAAACACCGTTCAAGAAACCGGTACCTCAAAACAGACAGAGGTGTTGTTGTTGTTTTGTTCCTTTTTGTTTTTCTCTTTTTTAACACCGTTCAAGAAATGGCATCAAAAACAGAGCTACCCCACCCCTTCCCCAGACCATCACGCTGCACGACATGAGAGACGAGACCAAGCTAGCGGCGCCTTGGCCCAGGGGATCGGTTCGATTCGTTTCCTGAATTGGTTGCTTGGTGGCCCCCAGCCGTCCGGTTCCTTAGCTTTTTAGGCTTTTAGTTGGTTTAGTGGTAGTTTGGCTATTCCACCCACTAAAAGTTATTCACTTTTAGCAGGGGATCTGAGGGCAGCCCAGGCTTCTCATTGTCCCCAGAGGCTCCTGGCTTCGGCTTTCAATGGAAGACCCGACCCTCCATTAGACACGCCGAAGGTGGTTGGGGTCTCAAAACCACGTTGTTTTTGTTTGTCAGGGACAGTGCATCACAACGTAAAAGCGTTGGCATGTGAAGAGGCGGAGGGTCAATCCTCATCCCGAAACGATTGTATAGAGAGGTGAGTCCACATGAATCGAAGGGGCCGCTGTGTATCACGCAATTTCTCGTGGCTTCTTTTGGACAGGAACATGGATTAACTTGTAACAATTATTGGTGCCTCATGATTTCTTAGAGATGGGCATGGGCTGTTTCAGACCTACAAGTGCGGTTGGTTGAAGTTTGTCTCCTGGTTTTGAGCCAGATATCCCCCTCAAAAGGGTTTGAGGGTCCGTAATGGCCCCAATAGGCATTAGTCACCAATAGTGAGGCCTCAGAGGCTCCCCTTGCCACTGTGGATGGACGAAATCCGATTCCTCAACGCAAATATCATAACAAACAACGGTTTCAACCATGGTTTCAAGACTCTGCGGTCTCGGATTTCGCAACCATCCACAGTATGGCCCTGAATCAGTGCATAAGAGTCGGCCGCTTCATGCTTTCAACCGAACGAGGCGGTTAACTGATAAACCTTCGCCATTTTTTCGGATGTGGTTCTGCCTGCTCTTATTATGTTGCTGGACATAAATCTCGATCCAAATGATGTCCACCACAGGGTCCATATTTTTAAAATAAACCCATATGTGACTTTACAACTGCAACTACAACTGCAACCATTTTTGTAGAACCAACAGTCAGTGGAGTTTGGGCACACGTCGTCTCCTTGTGCTCACCCTTTAGGACATTTTTGGGTATCCCCGGGTTTGTTAGGCCAGGATGAAGGTCTGAGAAGGCAGCCCATGTGTTGCACTTCTAAATATGGGGTGGAACAGTGTGACACCGAATTTCTGACCGCCCCCGTAATCACGCAATGACTGGTTCAGGGTATGTATTACTGTGGATGGACAAAATCCTGCAGTGGGATGGATGAAACCGTATGAATACCAGGATAAACAACTTACAAATTGGTGAAGGGTTTTGTCCTAAGAGGGGTCGGACCCTCAGAAGGATTCACGAGCAACTGGGCAAGTTGAATCACTTTCCACTCAGCGACGTCGCCGCCGCGCCTGCAGCCTCTCTACTCAGCAGGGCCCACCGTTCTTGTGCGTGCGCAAGACGTTCTCTTCGTTGCACGGCAGCAAGAAGTCTGGGCTGCTCAAATTTGTAAACCTTAATCCTTCCGCAGGGGGTCCTCTTTGTACCTAGAGTCTCCATGACCCCTTAAAAAATGGTGTCATTACCCAAAATAACAGGGTCATGACCCCACTTTTCAAGCGTCATGGAGACTCCAGGTAGTGGCTTCCCTTTCGGGATGGATAATCTCAAATGGCCAACCCGAACCATTTTGCAGAGCCCAGGAAATACATTCGACATTCGCAGCATGGCAACCACTGACTACGGAGCAGCCGAAGTCGCCGAAGTCGCAGAGCCCGCGAAGGAGCAGCAGGAGCCCTTTGTGAACTTAGAGGATACAGCGGTGCCGTTGAAGCTTTGGGCGGCATTCCCGATGATGGGCATGCTTGCTACTTGCTCGCTTGCGCAAAGCGCATAGACCTGAAAATGACCTTTTGGTTTTTCCGGTTGGCAACCACTTGTCGCGTCGTGGCCCCAAAAGATGAACTGTGCCTGCTTTCTGGGCCTTTGGATTTTGGATGAGGTTATTTTCAGCGTCCCATCGATGACTTTCGGCCTCTACAAGCAAGCTCTTCAGTCCGTCCTTGAGCTGACCGTGGAAGAGGCGGGCGATATCGCGAGCTATGGCCTCATTGGCGGCATGGTGCTGGGCTTCGTTCCAGGACTGGTCTATGACCGCTTCGGCTATGTGGTCACGCAACTCGGCTCCCAGCCATCCGATTCCGCATTTTTTTTGGATTTAGTGGCAGTTTCCATTCAACCCAACCAACTAAAAAGTCATTTCTAGGGGATCAGCCAGCCCGGACAGAGGCTGGTGCTGGGCGGCTTCATGAGCTCAGGCGGAGCGTTCTTGTGGTACTATCAGCTTTGTGGTGGCCAGCGCCCGAGCTGGCTGGGTCTGGCACTGGCGCTGATGCTGACCTGCCACGGCACCAGGTTCCAGTACTTCGCTGGGATTTGCGCCTCCTTGGGCGCGTTCCCAGCGCGGCTGTCCGGCTCCATGTCTGCGGCCATGGCTGTGCTGGTTTCGGTGGGCTACATCATCCTCCCGCAGCTTTGGACCAGCTTCTTTCTGCCGGAGGCAGGGGATACGAGCGCGTGGAATGCGAATGGCACGCTGAAAACCCTCGAGCCGGTTGCTCACTTCTGGCGTCTTTTGTCCGGCATCTACTTCTGCACCACATTGGCCGGCTTGAGCGTCGCTCGGCTCCTGCCGCACCCGAAGAAATCATCAGTCGCCGAGAGTTTGGGCTCCAAGCTGGCACGCGGGGCGAATCTGGAAGCCATCGTGTTGCTCCTCATGGTAGCGATGTCACTGGCCTTTACCTACGTCTTCATGGTCAACGGCTTCGGCAGTGCCTCGAGCATTGCCCAAGCTGGAGCCGCCGAGCGCGGCAAGATCATCAAGCAGATGGGCATGATCGGGATGCTGGGGCGCATGATCCACGGCAGCTTGGCCGACGTTTTGAAGCGAGGCCCAGCAGGCAAGGCCGGCACCTACATTTCATACTGCGTCGGCATCTGCTCGGCGACGAGCGGCTTCATTCTGATGCGCGCAGGAAGCTTCCAATTGCTTAAGAATACCTAGAGTCTCCATGACCCCTTAGAAATGGTTTCTTACCCCTTAAATTTTGTGCAATGACCAACCATTTTTCAAGGGTCATGGAGACTCCAGGTATATTTAGTTTTCCCTTGACGGCTTTAAAGAGAATCTATCATTTCTGAACACATTAGCTCATTTTTTCCAGGGAGCGAAGAAGCCAATGGAAGGAATGCAGGACATTACTGGGACCCTGCCCAGCGTCTGGGAGAACGCCAGTTACCTCATCGCCTTTGGCTTTGGTGGTCTCTTTGCGCTCTTCCCCGCCTCGGCCAGGACAGTCTTCGGCGCTGCCAACACCAGCTTCTTCTATTTGTGCTTAAGTTTTTTTTTTTTAAACAAAAATCCCTTGTTGGTTTTAAAAGGAATTTGTCACTACTGGAAATATTTGCTTATATTTTTCCAGGGTCTTAACCAAATGGAAGGCTTCTGGCTGGGCATCCTCTTCTGCATGCTGGGCCTCCTCAACTTTGGCTACGCGAGGTTGGGTGCGAGCTACCATTGGGGCGCAGAGTACTACGGCATCGCGGCGGCGTCTTCGGCGACCTTCGTCATCCTCCTCTTCGCGATGGTCGCGAAGACCTGGGGCACGGAGTGAGCGGGGCCGATTGTCTGTGTGGCACGCGTGGCCGATTCTCACGTATGCAGAAAGGGAGGGCGCGGTCAGCTCTTTCTTGGCATGTCCTCTCTGTTTGCGTACCTGAACGGTATTGGAATTCTTTAGAACTGTTCATCGGAAGGTAGTGTCTGTCTATGCGTGCGTGTGGAGTTTGTGGGCGTGAGGATATGCATATATGCATTCCTAGCGGCGCATATGGCGTGGCAATAAGCCACCAATTTTGGGCACCGATTGGAGGGAAGTGGTTGCAACTCAAAGGTGTGGTTCAACAATTGTCATTTCCCCGCAAAATCCCAGAATCATGAACCCGCTTTTGGTTAGTAGTAGGTTCGGTTAGTATTTAAGAGGACCATGAAAGGGAATCCAACCAACTTTCCCGAATCATGAACCCACTTTTAGGATTTAAGAGGAAAACCAAAAAAATCAATCTAATTTAACACGAGTTCATTCACCGTTCTTCAGGGCCGTAGGAGAAGTCCTGGGGCAATCAAGTCCAAACCTCAAAGTGCTCTACAGCTCCTGCGTGGTTTCAGGGATGCAGCTGGATGGATGTGACTCTTTGGCTGAGGATTTGATCTGGCTTAGGCATGATTGACGCAGGTTTACAACTTGAAGCGCTGGAGCCACGGTATACGTTCCAGAACGCACGTTGCGCGTGCTGCGACTAAGAGTATAGTTTATCATGTCCTTTCGGGGGGGTCCTCTACCAGAAAAAACCCTGAACAATTGTCGGCTCCGGCTGTTTCTGAAGGACAAGAATATCTTCCAAGCTGCGTGCAAAAGCTCTTGAACGCTGGGGATAGGGGACACCCGAAATCGAGCATTCTGCGGGTTGCCCGGCATACCGAACAACAAGGGGGGTTGAGAACTTCACTCAGTGGTTTCTCCCGGGCACCATCCCCAAAGAAGTTTGGATCCTACAAACACTGCCCAAGGGGCCAAAGCATCAGGTGGCAATCAGAGTTCTGGCAATTCGCGTCTGGAAAGGATTCCCCGTCCCCCTGTGAGTGTTTTGGGGGCTTAGCAGGGGGAATCCCCAGGTACGCTGAAATCCCATGAGCCACAATTCCCTAAATGGGTGCAGCCGCCTTTCTGGTTCTTTACATGATTCTGGGCACCTGGACTCTCAAACTTAAACTACTATTTAAAAAAATCAGGAAATAAATTCTAAGAGGGAATTGTTGCGGGTCAAGGACCATTTCACTACCAGGTTTCGAGGCTGACCCTTATCCCTGCTCACATACCCCCCCCATTGTTTCCCGTTCGGGATAGCCATCCAAACTGGGTCCCAAGGCCTTTCTTTTAACGGGGGCAAGGAGCCCTAAACCCTAAACCCTCAACCGCTCGGGTCACGTGGTGGTCGCGTTCTCTCTAGGGCTACCTTCCCCATTCTTCCCAAGGATCCTTCTTTTCAGGAAACCATCAAACACCCAGGGAAACAGCTGGCTTTTTGAAAGAACGATGGTTAAAAAGAATTGGGAATCAACCCCTCAAAGTATCAAGGGGAACCAACCGGCTTGTGAAAAGAACGATGATGAAAAGAATGGAAAAGGAATCAACCCCTAGATTCTCGTGTGTTGTTGTTCTCTCCACGTAGCGAGTTTCGAGAGGCTGTCATCACCCAAATGGGGTGAACCTTCCTTTTAACGGGGGCAAGGAACCCATCGGGTCACGTGGCGGTTGCTTTCCTTGGTTTTCTTTTGAACGGAATGTGAACCCCGGATTAAGCAGAACCCCTGGTTGATTTTCATCGGGGGGTGTCCCCTTTTAGTGATTAGATTCAGACCACTTTTGGCGGGAACACCCCTCTAATAATTCCACAGAATTAGCTCCCCTTTTTGCTTTTTTGCTTTTTTGGGGTTCCCTTTGTTTTCCACTAACCAGGCAAAAAAAATATTTTTTTGCTGGGGTCCTAATTCCAGCCAAGAATAGTGGGATCCTGGGTCAACCTTAACGAGCGAGGCCGCGGCCTGGGCCAAAGTCTACGCCCAAGAGCGAGCGCGCAGCCAGAAGCCAGGCGTGGACGGCGAAACCGGCGAAACCGGCGAGAAATCCCCCAGCTTTTGGTCGGAGGGTGCCTGGAAGATCGGGCTTTTCCTCTTCTTCCATTTGCTTGAGGATACGGTTGATTTTCCATTTTGGGTGTTACACTTTCATTACTGGATTTTCCTCTTCTTCCATTTGCTTAAGGATACTGTTGATTTTCCATTTTGGGTGTTACTGTACACTTTCAATACTGGATTGTTCCTCTTCTTCCATTTGCTCAAGGATACTGTTGATTTTCCATTTTGGGTGTTACACTTTCATTTCTGGATTTTTCCTCTTCTTCCATTTGCTTAAGGATACTGTTGATTTTCCATTTTGGGTGTTACACTTTCATTACTGGAGTTTTCCTCTTCTTCCATTTGCTTAAGGATTCTGTTGATTTTCCATTTTGGGTGTTACACTTTCATTACTGGAGTTTTCCTCTTCTTCAATTTGCTTACAAATATTGTTGATTTTCCATGTTGGGTGTCACACTTTCATTACTTGATTTTCTTCTTGTTCCATTTGCTTAAGAATACTGTTGATTTTCCATTTTGGGTGTTACACTTTCATTACTGGATGTGTCCTCTTCTTCCATTTGCTTAAGGATATTGTTGATTTTCCATTTTGGGTGTTACACTTTCATTTCTGGATTTTTCCTCTTCTTCCTTTTGCTTAAGCATATGTGGTTGTTTTGTTTTCCCTTTCGGGTGTTACATTTTCACTACTGGAAATATGTTTATTTTTCCAGAGGGCTTAAGCAATGGAAGTCTTGAAGGACCCCTGTCAGGTGCTATGTTCGCGGGAGGGAAATAACCCCCTCTTTGCTGACAATTTATCTCCATTTTGAAAGGGGGGATAGGAAACATCACCATTCTGCAGGGCTTTCCCTAAAAAAAAGACACCCTCATGTGATACAAGGGAGTTCCTTCTCCTTTTTTCTGGGTGAGTCTTTGGGAAGCCTTTTCTTTTTTGTATCACAGAAGTATGCCTGGAATGACCTCCCTCGGGGTTTGTCCTTTTTTAGTGGGATCCGCCCAAAATGGTGATGTTCCCTTTGCTTTGACTAATCCAGAGAAAAACCCAAAGACTGACCAAGCAAAAGGCGGAGATGCTCTTGTATCACATTAGGGGTTACGTAACTTTTTTTTAGTGGGAACTCCCCTTTCAAGATGGTGATAAATTGTCCCTTTAAGTTTGACTTTGAAACCAGCAAACAGGGTTTTTTACCCTCCCACTGACATAGCACCTGACAGGGGTCCTTCAAGAGGCAACTGATCTTCCGGGTGCTATGTTATCATAGGGCTGTGTGCCCCGGACGGCGCATCCCCCTATGAATAGGATGCGTTTATGAATCCGGCGTTTTCCTGTTGAAAACGGGTAAAAGAACGCCTAAAAAACGTACCAGCACCAAAAAAGCGACAGACCCAAATAGAGAACAACCGACTTGTGTGGCGGGCTGAAAGCGGATTTGGTTGGGGTGCCTTGAATTACAATTGTGGGTTGCTAAGACTCGGAAAGTCCAATTCGCTTGGAGGGAATATGGTTGCCAAAGGTTCCCGCTAGAACCAATACAGCCCACCCACTCTTTTCAAGGAACGACAGGGTATGTTAGCTGACCAAAAGTTGGGGTATTTATAATGGAAAGTATGGTTCTTTAAGCTGTACCCAGAACAACACATGTATTTGGAGCAGGGGGTTCTTGCGAGTTGTGCAGACGCCCTCGTAGACGTCCCATTTGGGCAGCAACCTTGGAGCAAGTCCTGGTCAAGGTGTGCCGTATGTTGGCAGCGCCAAAAAGTTGGCCACTACTGTTGTTGCCTCTCATGTGCTACTGTGGATGGACACACTCCATTTCGCACCACTTTGAAACCATGGTTGAAACCATAACGTTCGTTGGTATTACAGGTGAATCCTCCGAAACCAGGGTTTCTGAACGGTGGTGCGGTTTCTGGATTTCGCACCCATCCACAGCGAAAGAAGCAGGTGCCGCATAAGGCCATGACGGCAGGCCATGGCCACAGGCATTTGCCCCCGCCCGATGTTTCAGCGCACTGCCCTGGAAGGAGAAGCGGGGTGTGGCAAAAGATACAGCATCATATCCAAGAAGCAGGAGAAGAAGGACCAGAAGAAGAGCAAAGAGACTTGGGCCTTCGCGTGGGCCTCCCTTTGTTTGAGGCTGGGACCCCTTTTTTGGGCTTGGTTTCACAAAAGGAAACCACTGAGTTCGGTGGGTCCCCCTATTTTAAGACACCCCCCACTTGCTTTTTCAAAGTTTGAACGCCTTGCAGAGCATAATTATTATCAAAACTCGGACAGCTGACCCCTCCCAAAGACATTCTTCTAAGGGAATGATGTCTGCCCTCGATCAGACAAGAAGAGCATGATCATGGTTCGAAAACCTGGGTTTTCCTCAAAACATCGCCTGCGGGTATGTTGGGTTGAACATTTTTTTCACATCAGAATGAGACGCTTGCTCAGACAGGTACATTTGCTTTCAGACAGTCGCGAGTGCTTCTTCCCCCACGGCTGGAAGCTACGCGTGGGTTTTCCAGGCCCAGATAGGTGCTGTGCTGGTGTGGTTTGGTGCTTTTCCTTGGGAGGGTTCTGAGGTGTCTAATGGAGGGGCCGGGTCTTCCATTCAAAGCCAAAGCCAGGAGCCTCTGGGTGCAAAAGAAACGCACCGACCCTTGCCCCTACAACTCCAAATATCCGGAGCCCCGGAACCTTTCAAGAACCTCTTGTTGGAACCTCTCGAACCCTTCGGATGGTTGGGAGTCTCACAATCAGGTTATTTGAAGGCCCGAAGATCGGGATTCTCTGGGTTGCAAGAGCTGGAAGCCTCCGAGGCTTTCTTCCAGATGGGGTTTGCAGCTTCCGGGTCTGGGGAATCTCCCTGACTTGACTCTCAATGAGGTAATTACTGTGGATGGTTGCGAAAACCATTTCGCACAACCGAAGAAACCCTGGAATGATCGTTCCCCTGTAAATAACAACAAAGCATGGCTTCCCATGGTGCGAAATGGGTTTCGTCCATCCGCAGTATTTCTCACGTTGTAGGTTGATTTGGAACTGGTTCTTGTGATGAATTATACGCATGAAGCCGCCAAGATTCAATACAAAGAGGGAAGCGGAAACAAACCAAAAATGATGACAACCCCTTCTAGGAGGGGTTTGTACAAAGGGGAATAAAAGAAAAGGAAAGCCACCGATTTTGGGACCCGGTCCGAATCCGGGTGCCCTTTTGCACCTGTTTTTGGGGCCGAGCTGCAAGTGATGCGATCCAAGGAGAGCAAAGAGAAAGCCGGCGAGAGCTCGCGCGAGTCCGAGCTAACCTGCAAAAACAATTTGCTGTGGTTGCCGTAGCCCACGGCAGGGGCCCCGAATTAAAAAAACCAAGACAACACGTGTGCCTGGAGTCGCCATGACCCTTGAAAATGCGGTTATTGCCCAAAATTAAGGGATAATGGCCCCATTTTTAAGGGGTCGTGGAGACTGGCAGGCAAAGGACAGCAACGATTCCTTGGTGGCTCCCAGCCGTCCCCTTAGCTTTTTAGGCTTTTAGGGTTTAGTGGTTTCCATTTAACCCACTAACAGTTTAACTTTTAGCAGGGGATCTGAGGGCAGCCCAGATTCCAGTGAGCCACAAACGTTGATTTTTTGGTTCCCCTTTATACATGGCTTTTTGTCAATTTGGGGGACCAAAATGGTGGTGTTGACTTGTTGCTTGCCCTTAAACCCGGTACCCCCAAAAAAGACACACTCACATGCCGGTAGCTGTAGAACCTGAAAAGCATTAGCGTTTTTGGGTTCAGCCGAGCTTGCCGAATAAAGGGTAATTAAAGCGAGCGGCAAGCCAGACCGCGTTGCTTTGCTTTATATCAATTTTGTCCCAGGTTTACAGGCAAGATACAAAAAAAAAGGAGCCACTCGTCGTGACGTCTGTACCCGCGCGCGCTCTCAGGGAGCAGAAAAAGGAAGACGCCAGGAACGACAAGCACAAGATTGAGGAGCGAATCCATTCTTTCGCGTTGGGTCGGTTGCAGAGCTTCAGAGGGAAAACCAGGTGATCTGGTTAGCACGCCGCCCATTTTGAAGGCTCCATGGTTTGCCTTGTTCACTGTTTGCGGGATAAAATAGCACGCCCCCCTGGCAGGCTAGAAGCCCTTTTGAACAGGGCTCCTTAAAAGATACATTTGGCCCATTTGAAACATGTTGCTTTTTCCACACCAATAGAAAGGGAAACCACCATTTATAAGTTGCAATGTTCAGGTGTATACTGCATCCGGATCCCTGAAGGGAGGCGGTTCATTTTCCGAACGGCGGAGCCTCCCTTTAAGGAACCGCGTGCGGTCGTGGATCCCATCCCTTTCGGCTCCCTTTCTGGAAATCCAAAAGGTGACCGTGCAACCCGGAAAACCACACCCAGCGGGTCCACTTGGCCCATTTCACGCTACACAAATCCGGTCAGTTGTAAAATGTGAATGTGTATTGTGTATATATATACATATATACACAGAACACATGGCATATGTATATGTATATATATATATGTATATGTGTGACATGTTCATCATTATTATGACAGTTATTATTGTATGTTGTTATATAATTATTATGATTATTGTTAATATATTATCACTATTGTTGCCATTAGTTAGTTTATTATAACATATAGTTTATGCATTGTATTTTTTATCACTAGTTTTATCATCATGATCATTGTTATTAATTAGTATCAGTATCATTACAATATACATCTAATATTGTTAATATTATCATTAATATCATTATTACTAGTATGGTAATTAATTTCAGTATTATGATTGGTGTTATTGTTTTTTTTTATCTTTCGTATCATTGTTATTGTTATTGCCACTATTATTAATAGTATTGTTGTGTTGCACTATTATTATCATTGTTATTATTAATATTGTTGTTATCATTATTAATAGTATTGTTGTTACTATTGGTGTTACTATTGTTGTTACTATTGTTGTTACTATTGTTGTTACTATTGTTGTTACTATTGTTGTTACTATTGTTGTTACTATTGTTATTGGTATGGTTCATCTTTAATTATTTTACTTATGTATTTATTGTTTTATTTATATATATATATATATATTTATTTATCGTGACATTTACTTATTATTTTTATTTATTTATTTATTTATTTATTTAATTATGTGTTTATCACTTATTGTTTTATTATTATACGTACTGTTATTGTTATTTATGTATATATGTGTGTGTAAAGAAATGATATGTAGTCATATCTACGTGTAGGTTCGACAAGAAGCTGGACATCATGATGGGGTTCTATCTATAGGATACCCACCTGTGCAGGAGATCAATATTCACAGCGCGTATTTGACCTCAATGCTGATGGAGCATACTGTGCCCATCGATCATCCTGTGATGACCCCCTGCAAGCTGCCGGGGCCCTAGTTCATTGCTGAAGGTGGATATGCCACCCTTACTGAATCCGAAAGGTTTACTTTTATGGGCAATGGGGCATAATCCAAAAGCTTATAGAAGAGAGTGTGGTACTGCAACTGGACAAAAGTGCTCGCACACCGAATGTTTGCTTTGGGGCTAGTAGCGTGAGGGCACAAGCCCCCCCCCCATGTCAGACGTGCTCATGTCGTTGGAGAGGCTGTTTGTGTTCTGCTCAACTAACCAGCCACCAGCGTACGGCACAGAGGTGGGTTGACCAGAAGCTTGGCACCACAAGGTTTTCATTCTGTGCATCACCTAGTTCTGGTTGGTCAGGACGGTCAGGAATGCTCAAGTGTTCCTCTTCATTTCCCTTCAAACACAAATCAAGAGAGGGCAACCCCGAAAAGACACACACACACACACGTGCACACCCAATAGCTCAGTCCAAAGACCCTGAACTCCAGGCTTTTTCTTCCACAAGAAAGCGAACAAAAACCACTGAAACTACAATTCGTTCCCAGAAGGCCAGCAAATGAACTAGCTTTCTGAGTGTCACTGGGAACTGGCGACTGACGCGCACGGTTGTTGGTGTGACAGAGGCGCTCTTCGGCGTTGAAGCTGGCTGTTTCTCGAGCTTCAGTGGTTCCAGTCCTTTTGTTGAGCGGTTCCCTTAAGAATCTGAGTGCCGGTTGAAGAGGAGGTATCCCTTGAAAGTCAGCTACCAACAAACGGGGGTGGCATTTGTTGTTGTTTTCTTCTTTTTTCCCTCAGGGCAATCTGGGGGTCAAGGATTTCCCCTCAAAAAGAACCAAAGAGCCAAAGAGCTTCGTGGTTCCCAGCCATCTGATGGCAACGTCGGAGAGAGGCTAGTTGTTTGAGTCTTAGTGTGTGTGTGTACTGTTTGTTTGGCTGGCTTGGCTTGCCTGGGTGCATTTGGTGACCCCCTGAAAAGGTTGTCTTACGAGTTCCCGGAGTATGTTTTGTCTTGTGCTTCGTTGCCGTTTTGATGGGCAACGACAAGTTGGAGCCTTTTTGCCCAATCCAAGTTCACAGAGTAGTCCAATGAATATTATGTTTGGTTGAATCGCATCGTGCAACGTCATTCTAATTTGGCGCTTATATTTACCCAAGGTTCCTAAAGCTGGGTATTTTTTTAGACCACCACGCCCTTCTGTCCCTGTACCCATACCAATTCTAGGGGTTGGTTCCGCATTCTTTTCAACCATCCCTCTTTTCAAACACCGGCTGTTTTCCCTGGGTTTTTGACGGTTTCCTGAAAAGATTCGGATCCCTGGAAAGAATGGAATTGGAAGGTACCCTCAGAATTACGAGGTCGGGTCAATAGGTCCACTAGAAGCCTCCAAAACCGATTCGAAGATCGTCATGTCCAAGAAAAAGCAACACGATGGTATTGCAAAGTTAGGACACATTTGCAGGTGTTCGAAGCTCCAGGCCGTCCATGGTCAATGCGGGGTTTGGGAAATTTGGGGGCTAAAGGTTCGACGCATGCATGTGCCGACTGTGGAAGCATGGCATGCGAGGGCATGCTGTGCATGTGCTGACTCGCCGAGGGGGCTGAAATTCTGGAACACGCATCTTGGCCTGCAGTGGAGTGTGGTCCAAATCATTCCGAGATGCAGCCTCTACTTTCAGGGGGCAACATATTGCGATCATGTCCTCACAAAATTCGGTCCTTGGCTCCCTCCGCAAGAACAAATGTCGACACCCCCAGATCCTTGGCTCCCTTGCAACCGCGAGCTAGATCCATGTTACGCCCAAATACCAACTGTTTAAGCGCATATGGCTGAATTAAACAGGAGGCCTCCATTTTGGGAAATCCCTGCTTTTGAACATGGGTGTGTGTGTGTGTGTTTGCTTGTGTTATTGTTTCAGGAAATCCAAAAGGAACACCACCATGTTGTTTTTGAAGGGGTCCCCTAAAAATGCCACGCCGATTGAACTGTTGTTGATGTCCAGTTCGGTCCCAGTTCGGTCCAGAACCCAGTTGGGGACTGGCGGACAGCTCTTGAAAGGGCACTAGAAGCTCGATTTTTGGCACTTGATCCGGGAACAGCCCAATTTGGAGTAGGGAGATGATTTTGAGGACACAGCCTCCTCCTGTGGATGGATGACATCCATTTCGCACCGCCTGAGAAACCTTGGTCTCTGATGATTCCCCTGCAAATACCAGCAAACACTGGTTTCAACCACGGTTTCAAAGTGGTCTGCACGGATTGTGTCCATCCGCACTAAATTGCATCTTAGGGTAGACCAAACATGAAATAGAATGTGAAAATATGATTACCACCACTAAAAGGGCATCCCTTTTAAACAGGACAGGGGTTTATTACTCCAGTGTTCCCATTTGGTGGTCTTAAGCTGCGGGAACCCGACAAGTTGTGTGGGTTCAGAGGGGGATCCTCCCGATTTGGTCTTGTCAAATTAAGGACCCTCCCCCCAAAAAACCGTCGTGCTTCCCCATTTTTGCACCTTAGCCAACAGCGTTTCCCCGCAAAGGTTGTGGTGGTTCCCCTCTTTTCTCCTTCGCCAGAATAGAAGTTTGCATAGTTTCTCCAAAAGCGACCAGGTTTCCCCTCTTTTCTCCTTCAACTTAAAGTTGGCGAGGGTCGTTTCTCCAAAACCCGCCCAGCGCCCAGCGCCCCGTCGCCCGTCGCCCGGTGGCCCGCCGAGGACTTTGGAGGCGGAGGGGTGGGACCTCCAGTCCTCCAAGGACAAAGACGCGGGGAAGGTCCGCTGGAACCGCTGGCACTACCGCGCAGGAGCCGACGAAGCCTCGGTGGTTCCTCGCCTCGGGTGGTTTTTTTTTTCGTCGCGAGCCGGGCAAAATATGGTTCGCACCTATCTGGAGTCTCCTTCTGACCCTTGAAAAATGGTTGGTCATTGCCCAAAATTAAGGGGTATTGACCCCATTTTTAAGGGGTCATGGAGACTCTAGGTAGAGTCGCCATGACCCCTAGCAAAAGGGGTCATACACCCTTAATTTTGGGTGATGACCAACCATTTTTCAAGGGTCATGGAGACTCCAGGCAGTGGGGGAGATCCGAATAGATCCGACTTTTCTGCTTGATGGTCGGGCTCCATAGATTTTCCAGTCGCGAGTCGAGACAGTTGCGTGCTCCCCAAAGAACACGGGGGCTTGTCAAGGGGATGAAGCTGCGAAGGGCGAAGGGGAACAACCCCTCGAAGGCTCGAAGGCTCGAAGCCCCGAGCCTTCGAGGTTTGTTGAGTTGGCAAAAGCACGTTTACTACGCTGATAATTCTGAAGCCTCAAATAAGGGACCCCCAAGAACAACAACTACACATGGCAGCTTTTTCGGATCCTTCAAGGATACATCGCAAAACCACCTGCTTTGCAAGGTGACCCTCCAAATCAGCGGCAAACGTGATACTGTGGATGGTGTCGAAATCCATTTAAGAAACCCCGGTTTCTGATCATTTTTCTGTAAATACCAACGAACCATGGCTTCAACCATGGCTTCAACCATGGCTTCAAAGTGGTGCGAACGGATTTCGTCCATCCAGAGTACTTCCGATTTGGCTGGTCTTCGGAAACGGCCGGGTAAACGAAACTGCACCGTTGCTGTCAAAATTGGATTTGGGCACCCGAAATGGTAAGTGTCCAGTTGATATCCTTCAGACCAGCTGAAAAGGGTAATTGCCCCAAATAAATAGAAACACACAACCATATATATATATATATATATTAATGCATACAGGGATTGGCGGCCATTTTGTTTCTTGACTTTAGGACCCTAGAAGTGTCCCGGTTTGTCTTACATTGCGGAGAGTTGTTGCAAGATCTCACCTCTCGCTGTTTGAACAACGGAACCCTTCCCGAAGAAAACCCAAATCAGCTTCTCTAGGTCCCCCAGTAGTGCCCTTTTACCCTTTTTCGGGGGGAGGGTTCCCCTACTAAAGTAGACTGCAGACAAAAGGGCACCCTTATTCTAACCTCTCTACTGGAGGACCTAGTCTAAGTGGAGTCAAATAGAAGGCACTGACAAAAGCTACAAATAGCCTGGACCACTAGAAACTTGCTGGAAGGAAGCTGAAACAATCTGTGAACCTAGAGTCTCCCTAAGGACCCCTTTAAAATGGTTGGTCATTACCCCTTAACTTTGGGCAATGACCAACCATTTTTCCAAGGGTCAGAAGGAGACTCCAGGAAGGTGTTTTGGGGCTCAGGGCATGACCCGAGCCTTCCCTCAGCGAAGGTCCAAAGGTCCGAAGCTCAAAGAACCCGAAGCGTAGGAGAGCGGTCCCGAGACTAAAGTTGCCACTTTTGGGGTTTTGGACCATAGTGACGCACCAAAAAGTGTTTTGTTTGCTTCTTCTTTTTTTGGGCACTCAGGAAGTGAGTTGCCCCGTCTCCCACCAAAGAATATCATCTTGCATTTGCTTAGGAGTACACTTTATTTTACCTGATTGGTTTTCAAGAGAATCTATCACAGGGCTCCTGAACAGATCTCCATGTTGCAGCCATTTGAAACATGTTTTTTTCCACCAAACTAAAGGGACACCACCATTTACAAGGCAATGCTCAGGCGTATAATGTAAGGATCCCTGCTATCACTACTGGAAATATTTGCTCATTTTGTTCCAGGGAGCGAAAAAGCAAATGGAAGCACGGGGCGAAACCTGGGAATGATTAGGTCCGCTTGGTTTCCTTTTCGCATTTGTCCAGAACCTCGTATGTCTGGATCCCTAAGGGGCAACTGAGTTTTGCAGGGACCAAACTTTTATCTTTCTGATGACAGCACTTTTGGAGCGCACTGTTAGCAGGTGGGAGGGTTCTTGGGCAATTCCGCTGAGCACAGCCGGATGTGAGCGCAGGAACACACTACATCTTTTGTGACGACAATCACCACGACCTGATTCTGCATTGCCGGAGGCTTAGATTCATGCAAGGCAGCAAAAACTATGCGGGTACCCAATAGGGGACCCCTTCAGTTGAGAGAAAGAGAGAGAGGGTACTTGGGTGCTCGGCCAAGTTAGTAGGCAGGTGGCTAACCACTTACTAACTTGGCCGAACATCCAAGTAGCCAAAGACCTGGAGCGTGAAACTTCTGCCAGACCATCATAGCTGTGCAGTTCGCTGCAAAACGCTCAGACTGGAGAGTTACTCTGCGGTGTGCGGCTATAGGAACGCCGAGTTTCAGCGCCACGGTCTATGCTGAGGGCAGGGTCCTCACCACAACCTTCCATTTGCTTAAGATTAGTTTTGGCTTTCCCCTGCTGGCATCAGAAGGAATCTATCACCACTGGGCATATTTTCGTTTGTCTTCCAACTGGAGCCTGTCCAGTTGGGCGCTGCCGCCGTGCGCGAAACCGCTACAAGCATTTGCCATCGAAAATTTGCTTAAACATCCCCAGGATCTGCAGGAAAGCACGGCGCATGATTCGCCCAGCAGCTTCTTGGCTTTGCATCAACTACTGCCATCTAACCCATAAACAAGAATGAATCCTTGGACATGAATCCCCCACCTTCCATTTTCGAAATGAATAGTTTCTTCTTCTTCTTCTTATTATTATTATTATTGCTATCATTATATTTATTCTCACGCATATGTTATTATCATTATTGTTGTTATCATCGATCCCCTTTGGTTTTAAAATGAATGTATCAACGGACATATGTTTCTGCCATGGGACTCTACTGCAAATGCAAGCCGCCAAATTTTGGCGTCCATGGAGTCCTTTACACACACATGTCTTTATAAGCCATCAAACACTGGTGAGACAAGAGGAAAAACAAAGAGTCTAGGGGCTGATTCCAACCATTCTGTTCCACCATCGTTCTTTTCACAAGCAGGTTGTTTCCCCTTGATATTTTGAGGGTTTCCTGAGCAGAACGATCCTTGGAAAGAATGAGGAAGCTCCCCCACGCAACCAGGCTGCAGGTTTTGCACGGAGCCCAAAGGCCTCGCAAAGGATAAACAATGTAGATATGAAGGGGGGGGAGGATAACAGGAACGCTTAATTCTTTCTGCGGGTCTTCCACTGGACGAAATGTATTTCGCACCACCTAAGAAACCCTGGTTCGGATGTGTCCTCCTGTAAACATGGTTTCAACCATTGTTTCAGAGTCTTGTGCGAGCGGATTTCGCAACCATCCACAGCATGTTACGTATTAGGGTAGACTAAACATAGAATCTGCAGACATGTTTTTTTCTGTAGGGATGTGGAAATGCCAAGGTTTCAAACGGTTCCTTGGCAATACACCGGAAAAATGCGAATTGTCACCAGCGTAGACTCCCGAGGCCTCGCCCCGAGTGGATGCATCTTCCTGGGGGGCGGGGACAGCTGCAAGAAGGAGCGATGCCAGGTGGAGAAACTTTTTTGTTTGGGTTCTTGACTGCTATTGGGTTGGATCTTTAGACTTTAACTTTTTGGGAAGTCAAGGGGTTTCCACCAAACCCCAAAAGTTAAACTTTTTGCAGGGGGTCAAACAGCAACCAGAACTTGGGCTTTCCTTTTTTGGGAACTGGTGGCTTCCTAGTTCAGGGTAGGTTTCCCAGCTAGGTGCCGTTTTACCAACTTTTTTGGGGGAGGGTTCCCCTACTAAACCCTACTAAAATGGACTACAGAAAAAAGTTGGTACCCTTATTCTATCCTCTCTACTGGAGGACCTAGGGTAGGTTATGGGTAGGTTGCCACCTTTTTTTTGGGTTCACTTTTTGGGAACCGGTGGTTTGAGTATTTGTCGACTGGCCCATGTTTTCTGTTCGAAGCGTTTGTCGTGAATTCACGCAAACCCAAAGCGAATCGAGCTGAGCAGTGACCCTTTGGTTTCCGGGTTTTGGTCCATGTTTAGAGTAGTGGCTCCAAGAATAAATGGTTATAGTAGTGGCTCCATGTCTAGTATTGTATTACTGCCCCCCCGCCTGGTATTTCTGTGTCCTTTGGATAACTGAGTAAACGGTGGCTGCGCACTGGCCCACGCGAATCGACCGGAGACTTTTGAGTTGGCAACCATTTTAAGTAGCCCCAGAAGGTTCACCTTTCGGCAACTGAGTTTAGGGTTGTCCCCCTTTTTGGCCTGGCCAAGTGTCCCACTCACTCCCCGAGTTCCGTTTCAGACTTTCGTCGCTTTTTGGCAGTGGACCATTTTCGTGGCAACTACAAATCATGAGTTCAATCCACTCGGGGAGTGTGACAGGGAAAATCGATTTCCTTGATGTGGTTCGGGTGTTAACTGTAGAGCACAGATCAGGAACAAAAGACCGGTTTACCAGGGGTTCCACTTCCTGGTTTGCAAGCAGGGTATAGAAAGGTGGATGTTATTTGTTACAAGCATGTTGGATCACGTTGGTCAAGCCAAAAGTCCATGGATTCGTTGTGCTCTGCTCAAGTTGTCCGTGGCTCAGAGCATTGGGTTTTTCAGCTTATCCATATCGGGGTGGTTGGCTTGAAGTTAACCAGGTCCATTTCCATTTGGCCTTCAGGGTTCAGATCGAGACACCAAGCCAAACAGATACGACGGGCGTAAGGCGTCGTAGATGAAGAGTTCCATGCTTTGATCAGACGCAACTTCGACTGCACAACTCTAGATCATGCAAAAACATCAAGGAGTTCTCGCCAACCACGCTTCCGCAAGCTACCCCACCAGCCAGCAGAGCTGCGCCGAACAACTGTGAAGGGCCATATGTGCAGAGTTTTGGCCTTTACATTTGAACCTTTCAAGCCACCTTAGTAAGCAGAACCAAAGGTCACTGGCTGGGCGCTGGTCAGATTTTTCAATCTGAGGGTACTGATTGTAGCTGGCAAGTAACTGTTTGACACCTGACATGTGCAGAACGAACACTGTACTGCTTGTTCTACCGGCTGTTTATACCCCCCTTGCCCTCATACCAATTTTCTCTAGTATTCCAAGAACCTGCTTGCCCGTGGTAAACCCCTCATGCTGGAGTCAGGTCAACATACCCAAGGTCGGGCGTAAGAGACAATTTAAGGGGGTTGTGTTGGGATTTTTGGATGGCGAGCCCAGTTGGAAAGTGCTGTGGTGTCCTCCAAATGTTGTGCTTTGGGGCAGACTAATAAATATGGGTGTTTCCTCCAAGTTGGGGACCCATTCCTCAAAGTCGTGGACCGATTCCTCGAGGTGGTTTTTGGTTGGTTTCGGCTATTTTTGTTCCAATCCAAGAAGAGGTCCCCTATTTTGAGACACACCCGTACACAGAATCCAGTAGTGCATATTTTCTGTGCGTCGTGGATGTGGACCGAGTTTCGTAACACCCTTGGGAGCCCTACGACCCAATCAAGGGGCTTTTGGGGTTGGTCCAAGTAGGTTTGGCCAAACCCACAACAATTCTTAGTAGTTCCCAGCCACTTGGTTCCTTAGTTTTTTTTGTTGGTTTAGTGGTTGGGGTTCTATTTGACTCAGGGAATCAGAGAGCCCAGATTAGCATTGGCAAATGGGTGTCGCTTACAAAGCTCCGGTGTTGGAGGCTCACCAGGCAGAACTCCTTTTGCAAATAGGAGCTGATCAAGATGCTCATCAACGGAGAGCCAGCCACTTGGACAGCATTCGGCCCGAAGCGGGATCGTCCGCAGGGGATCAGGCGTGTCCTTTCTTAGGAATTGGACCCCCCCCCCCGTTTTGGGGGTTTGACATGGCCTCCCTCGAAAAGGGTTTGGAACCCAGTGGTGTGGCTTCCCATTTCCCCCCCCCCCCCCTCGCCAAAGAAAAAGCAAGTTGCAGTTTGCCTTTGGTTTCCCTTTACAACTACGAAGAAGGGTACCCTCAAAAAGACGAGCCACCCATGTGTCACATCGGGGCTGTTCATTTCGGCCATTTGCAATCGATCCTTGCCAGGTTAGGAAAGGAACAGGTCACGACTCAGCCAAGGCTTCAGTGCTTTGCCCAACTTTGCTTTTTGGGAATCTAGGTCCCCCAGTAGTGCCAACTGTTACCAACTTTTTGGGAAGATTCGGTTCCCCTACTAAAATACACCACAGCAAAAAATTGGTACCCTTCTTCTAACCTCTCTACTGGAGGACCTAGTCTAAGTGGACCTAGACTCTCAGACTCCCAGTGGGTTGCTTTTGTTTACCCTGTTTGGTGATGGAAGGTGTCCTAGCAACAAAAGCGGGTGCCGATTTTTGTTGAAGGATTGGTTGAAAACATTCACGGGCTTACAAAAGGAGATAGAGCTTTGTCTCAGGCAATGCTGTTAGCTGCTTGGATTGTTCTGTGTTTAACCTTGGTGGCTCCCAGCCATCCGGTTCCTTAGCTTTTAGCCTTTTTAGTGTTTCGTGGTAGTTTCCATTTGGCTGTGGGTCAAAACCAATGGGATCCCATTTTGGGGTAGGTGAAATCACCACCCATTTTAGAACCTACTTTAGTGGGAATTGAATCGGATGTTCACTGGGGGTACGACTCGGCTTTTGACCCATGGCCATTTAACCCACTAAGAGTTATTCACTTGTGGCGGATCAGACAACGGGCAGCCCAGTTCAAAGGGGAGCCAAAACCAGCAGGGAGTACTTCTTGGGGCCCCCCGCTCCCTAACTGCAGGGTTTCGTGGGTTTCGCCACAAGGACAGGGCTCCCTATCTCCATTTGCTTAAGAACATGTTGATTTTCCCATGTTGGTTTTAAAAGGAATTTATCACTACTGGTAATAGTCTTTGTTTTCCGGGGGTCTTAACCAAATGCAAGTCTATAGTTTCCCAACTTTTGGTACTTTTTGAACGTTACCGTTTGGCCCGATGAGTGATTTTTTGTTTGGTGATGTTCAAAGGGGAAGTATCGGGAGCCCTGTAAGACCGCAGCATTGCAGCCGTAAAGCCTAGGTCCCCAGCTAGGTGCCAACTTTTACCGTTTCCTTTTTGGGGATTTGGGTTCCCTACCAAAATAGACTACAGAAAACAAGGGGGGAGCAAAAAAAAAATCGGGTACCCTAACCTCTAACCTCTCTACTGGAGGACCTGGTCTTTGTAGCAAGTCTTGGCGGGGGGGGGGGGGGAAATCTTAGAGCGTCTGGACGCGAGGTGGTTTGCCTCAACAACACTGGCAGACTCGCGCAGGACTTTGCAGCCGGGCCGACTTCCATTGTTTTTTCTCCGCTGTTGGTTTTAAAAGGAGTTTATCACTACTGGACATATGTTGTTGGTTTTAAAAGGAGTTTATCACTACTGGACATATGTTGTTGGTTTTAAGAGGAGTTCATCACTACTGGAAATATGTGATTTTCTTCCGAAGGTCTTAGCCAAATGGAAGCCGATAGAAAGCGACCAAGACCAAGGCATCTACTTTTTGGGCGCGGTAACACGCACTTGTCCTGGGGTTCCCGGCCATCCACTTAGGTTTTTAGGCTTGTAGGGGAAGCCATGATACCCATGATGCCCATGATGCCCATGAAACCGTATCCTACCCGAGAAAAAGTTCAGGGGAAAGCTTCCAACCATTCTTTCCAGGGATAAGACTCGTGGAACCAAACAACGTCCCTTGATATGAGGACTTAGGCATGTGGAAACCACTGTGGAAGGCCTGATTGCCAACATCTTACATCTTTGCCTCACTTGTCCACAGCGAATCGCCCTTTGACCTATGTGTTTCCTTTGAAATTGTATGTTAAGCAATGTTCCACAAGCTTAAGCTTTTCATTCGAGGCCCTTTGGGCACGTGAGTTGCTCAAAGGCAAACGAAAGAAAGACATGCACACACATGTGATCCTTAGGGTTCTCCAAACACCCGGCATCATTGAAGGGCTGTCAGGAGTTGACATCAATCCCATGTGTGAGCATTGGCCGAAAGGCGTACATCGATTCACGCCTATTTGGGGTTGATCAAAAGCTCTGTAAAACATGGGATGACCATTGGAAACCACAAAAAAGATTCGATAGTTCAACCACATCAACAAGTCCTTGTCGTTCAGTGGCGACCGTTTTCCGTTGTTTGCTGGGTTCCCCACCTAAAATGATGAACCCCAAAGTGAATTGCCTTGTTCCAGGGTCAGAACAACTGCGAAATCCTTTAAAGGGCCACACAGATAGCCACATACTTTGGGTGGACAAAATCCTGCGCCACTTTGAAACCATGGTTGAAGCCATTGTTTGTATGTACAGGGGAATCATCCGAAACCAGACACTCTGAGGCCGTGCGAAATGGATTTCGCATCCACAGTATTTGAAGTCTGGTGGAGTTGAGTTGATTGGGTTGTCAAAGTTGGAGTTTCTGGGCTCGTTTCTGTTTAAGCTTCCGCTTGGATGGACGAGTGGACGGGTGATGGATGGTAAGATGATACGAGAGGAAGGTGCCGCTGTGAAGGGTCTTGTGTGTTTTTGTGTGCGTGTGTGTCTGTAGTTGTGTGCGCGTGCGCGTGAGTGTGTGTGTGTGTGTGTGTTATGTGTGTGTGTGTGTGTGCGCGCGTGCGTGCGTGCGTGCGTGCGTGTGTGCGTGTGTTTGTGTGTTTGTGTGTGTCTGTGTGTCTGTGTGTGTGTGTTTGAGCGCACACCCCTTTCTCCAAATATGTTTTTTGGTTGAATAGTATATTTTGTGACATGCCAGGTTGTCCACGATAAATTGCCTCCTTTGCTAGTCAGGGGTATATAGACATCACAAGTATGCTAAAACGTGGGTATTTGGAGTGTCAAAGGCTGATTGCATAGGTCTATGTATATGTATATTATATACATAGCATTTTGGACCATTCTTGGGTTGAGTTTCCATAATGGTGAATTGACCCATAAACCCGGGGCTCATACCAGGGATTCATAAAACATTCAGTCTTTGAGAAGAGGGTGTGTGTGTGTGTATGTGGGCATTTGCGTGTGCGTGTGCGTGTGTGTCTGTGCGCGAGTGTCGAAAGCTGCACGGCTAAGGTAAGATGATGCTCGGCTGCAATTCAGCCTTGATTCCGACCGTTCCACCTGGTAGTCTTTGTTTGAGGGTATTCCTTTTTGTGGGTTTTCAGGGGAAACCACAATTTGTGGGGGCCCCTAAAAAGACACACCCACATTCGTGTGTGAGCATGGCTGTCAGGCAACCCTTAGTCGTTGGTTTGGATTGGTGGTTAGGGGATTGGAGGTACGGGGTAAATGGGAAACCACGCTTTTACCTCCAAACTACTCATCCAACCCACCAGCGAGAGGGAAGCTGATGCCTATTTTTACAAACCCATAACGAGGTAAGCTGCGTGCAGGAGGTTTCTGACCGACCATACCTGTGGCATGATCGCTGGGGGAACTTGCGATCTGTTTGAACTTTGAACTACTGTGGATGGACGAACTGCAGGCACCTAAGAAGCCCTGGTTTCGGAGAATTTCCCTGCAAAGAAAGGGTTTCATTTCCATATCATTTCGGAAAGTGGTGGCGGTTTCTGGATTTCGATCCAATCACCAGATATGTTGACTCGCATCTCTATGGCCAAATTTCTGATCCCAACTTCATGGGCTTAAAACCATAACCATCACGGGTCCTTTTTGTTTTGATGGGAGAATAGGTTGGGCGATTCCCGGGGTAAACCTGGTGGTTTAATCATCATCTAGGGCCATCTATTTCCCCTAGGACACCGTTCAGGACCATAACGTTTACCGTTCAGGATTGTCTAAATCACCGCCCAAGGCCATTCTATGGGGGCAAATCGGAACCCTAGGGCCTTAGTTGGTGGTTTACCTTTTGCATGGCACAAAACGGGGGGGGAGGTACCCATTCGAAGATCGGAGCCACCCGCAAAACGGGCACGAACACCAGTCGGCAGTCGGCTGGTTGGGCCTTCGGACAGGTCACGAGTTCCTCTGTGGCAAGCTCTTCAAGTTCCACCCCAACGATCAGACGCTTCGCTTTGTCGCTTTGGAGTTGGGGGGTGCTTGGGGGGTGTCTTTGAGGATACACCGCGAAATCAACACGGGCCTCTCTCTCTCTCTCTCTCTCTGTGTGTGTGTGTTTTAAAGGTACCATTTGTTCACCTTGGTTTAACTCGATTGCTGGCCTGCTTGTAGAGACAAGCCCAGCAAGGATCCCTACTTGGATGTTCGGCCAGGTTAGCAAGTGGTTGGCCACTTGCGGTAGAACTCCCTTAAGACAAGGTTAACCCCACTTGGGGGGACTTACAACTAGGCTATAACATAGGTTAATGGGTTGACAACAACTTAGTAACTTGGCGAATCGACCACCCAAGTAGAGACACCAAGGCGCAGGGACTAAGGCAGATGAGGAAGATGCGGGGATTCGGCTGACTGAAGCGGCGGCAGTGACCGTTCCGCCCGAATGCAGGTTTTGTTGGTGGTTGGTGGGTTCCCTATTGAACCAGGTAGCAAAGCTGGGCACCACATTGCCACCCTATTTGGTGATTTGTTCTTAAAGGCAAGCAACAGGGGGAGGGATTTTTTAGAGGGGCAAGTCAGCAAGTCTACTGCTCTTGCCTCGCTAGTCTATGGTCACTTATGGGGAGGGGGCACCAACCAAAATGTGAAAAGCAAAAGCAACAGGCGGCAGTTCACCCGATTTGCCCCCACTTTTGAGGCACCCCAACTCGCTTTGGGGCATGCCGAGGGCAACTGCAAGTCCCCTGTAGGAAACCCAACGACCCTTAAGAGAAGGGTTTCTTTTTCGAAAAGATGCTCCTAGGGACATGTTTCCTGAAAAACAAGACCCAAGCTGCCCATGCCCTCTTATCGTGGGGAATCCTGCTCCAAATGCACGTTTGCATTTTTAGGGTGTGATGTCAGCGACTGCAAAGAGGCAGGTTCCTCAAAATGAACCTTCCAGATTGACAGATGCTCTTGATTAGTTAGGTCCCGGACTTTAGTCACAATTTGGGAAGGCCGGCTTTCCTTGATATGGGTGCTATTAGGGGAAATATAGGGAACAGGATCTGAAATACGCCTACCTGGACCCTCAACGGTCCAACTTAAAAATGGGCTACTGCCCAGTATTGCACCCCCCAATGATTGGTGAATTCCAACTTGTTTATGGGCAGTTCTTTCGGCTCCAAGTACACCTCACATCGGAAGTTTCAATCACTTCCTCGGCCGAGGGATCTTCCGAAGAGCCCGGAGGCGGATCGGATGCAAGATTTGGAGCGGGTGGGGCAACTGACCAGGAGCTATTCAACTCACTTTCTGGCATGGTGGTTCGAAGCCATCCGGTTCCTTAGGTTTTTAGGCTTAGTGATATTATGATATAGCAGTGGCGGCACTCGACCATTTGTCTAGACTTGTTGGGGTTGGTTGCCATGGTTAGTACCATAAGTTTGGACGCCTTTTTTTGCCTGTCCATTCAGGAAGTGAGGTACATGCTAAGGACACTAACTTGGTAGTGTGTTATGGTTATCTAATGGCTTTGGGTAACTGGAGTCCCGTTTCATCGAATCAACAGGATACCTTTTGGCCATATCGCAAGTCACCGTGTCAAAGGGGTTCTGCGTGTGCTAGGTGATTTGTTCGGTGCATCTTTAGCGCGGGGGTTGTGGGCAGGATTGCCCTTCCTCCAATCATGGAAAGCAAAAAAGAGTGGTTGTTTTGTTAAAGGGATAGGACTGAATCCACATGCTGGTCTATTTCGAAGAACATGAGTTTGTTTCAATCTTTCCATGGGACATATCTTCGCTTATTAGTCAGGGATTGACATCATACCCTGAGAAAGTGGGTAATTATTAGGTGCCTGGGGATTCAGAATCGAATGATATCGGAAGATCCATGGAAGGGCAATGCATCGTAGCAGTAAGGGAAAGACATCGGGCACACTCAACAAATTACCGTTGGAAAAGAGGCTTTCCAACATACAATTTCAGTTGGGGACACGGTTCGTACTGAACATACCTCTCACAGGTTGTGGGAAATCATATCTTGAATCTGTGCAACGTCGAGGTCGAAAAACCCGCTACTTATGAGAGAAGGGCTCTCTTGAGTGGGATTCTCTAGATACAGTGGGTCCCGTAGTGGGGATTCTCCACAACCGGAGAGATGGACAAGTGGCATGACCACCTCGCCGATTGGTAGCTTCTCTGACCCATTTCAGACAAGTCATGGACATGGAATTCTCACTGGATAAGCCATAGATAAGCCAATGATACCCCCCAAAGCTCCACATACCTGGGCGTTGTGGGCCAGTTGGTACTATATGTTGTATATTGTTGAAAGCCTTGTTTTCCATGGTAGATACCTCCTTTTTTAGTTGGGTCCGCATATGGCGGCGGCTCAACTTATACGCTCCGGGCCAAGCGATCCACTGATCCGAACCAAAACGCAGGTCCAGAGCGATCCAGACGTCCGGATCACCGCGGAACAATCCTTTTTTGTTTTTCCCAGAGGCTCCGATCGGTTTCGGCTTTCAATGGAAGACCCGACCCCTCCATTAGACACCCCGGAGGTGGTTGGGACCAAAACCAGGTTGTTTGAAGGCCCCAAATCAATCGAATTGGAGCCTCTGGGTTTGAGCCATATCCAAATCATAGCACATCATACCCCGAAGGAATGGGTATTGGACGTGGGAGTTTAATCGGTCACAGCACCTCCCAGCGCCAATAGGTTCCCGATGCCTGATTCGGGGCTTGTGGAGGACCTGTGTCCCGCAGTCCCGCAAAAACAAGAACCACAAATCAAACCGAGTCTCCTCCACTTCCATTCGCCCACCGGGGGTTACGACCCACCGACAACTGGCCCAACTCACTCGAAGTAGGTTATACCCTCGGGGGCTAACCACCTACCAGCTTGGCCGAACATCCAAGAACGGCTGTGCTTTATTTTCCAATGTCGGTTTTACATGGAATCTATCACTACTGGACATAATGTTTTATTGTTCCCAGGAACTTTAACAAATGAAGTTCCAGGAATTGACACGTTATCAAGTATGCGTCATATTTCGTAATACGGTAAACTTCCGTCCCCAATTGGTGGGCCAAAATTGGACCTCCCCCGATATCGAGATCGAGTGCAGGTGTCAAGCTGCCCGGCTGCACGTCGAGGGGGCTCCAACTTGCGTGGGTGGGGAGAGAATGAGGGTGTCCACCCTAGGGTTTCTTGGCCCCGGACATGTTGGTTGTTCCCAGCCATCCGGTCCCTTTGTTTTTCTTTTTTATGTGTATTTGTTGGTTTTGTGGGGGGGTTCTAACCCACCAGAAGTCAAACTTCAATGGCCATTGGAGGTCTGCCTCTTGCGTTTTTTCAGGCTAAATATTTGAAGAGCTAGGTTTTCCATAGTCATTGCCTGCTTTGTGGTCAATTATTGTTATCATGCCCCGAAAAAACGTGCTTATTGGGTGTAGGGGGACTAAATCATTGGGACAGTTATAACGACGCGTTTCGGGCGGGTTGGGTGTGTGTGTGTGTGTGGCGTCACCCATGAAAGTGTTTGGCACAGGGGTTATGTTTTCAATTTTCCAGCGGGGAATGACAACAAGCTGCCTAGAGCCGATTTATAAGAACCTCGCTAAAATCCACTCGGGGGGTGGTGCTATGTCCCTGAACTATGTTATATCCAATGGCCAAGTGCTAGCCACTTAGCGATTCGTCCCAGGCAATCTGAGCAGGATTTCCGGATTTACACGAGCATGGAACCCAGAAGTAGAGGAAAACTGTTCGCACCCATCAGGCTCCAATTGTGGGGTAACCGCCACTTCAAAATCCTGAGATTGTAGAAAGAACACTTTTTTCACTACTTTAGTATCGGGCCGGTCCTTTTTCGACAAATGCATAAACCCCTGCAACTCCAGGACCAAACAACTACGGTATACCCCTGGGGAAGACATGAAGAACAGGTAGGACACCGCGCACGATTTGTCAGGTATATTTCGAAGAACCATGTTTTCCATGGTAACCTCCTTGTTCAGTCAGGAGTTGACATCATACCCCCAAAGAGGCAGGGCATTGGACCGTAGGGGGAAGAAGGGCTGAGTATAGAGCAAGTGCATAGCAACCCAAGATAGGCCTGGGCCCGACACGGGTATTCATCCAATTGGATTATTCTGGAAGTCTTCGGGCTCCATTGTTTTGTTACCCCCTCCCAATAGCACTTAAACCAGGGTAAAAACAAGCTCACCACAATGAAGGCCTCAGTTCAGTTTGGCTAATGATGGTTAGGGCAGCTCTTTCCCCTCACCGGCCAGTCGAATCAGCGAGGGTCCTTAGTTGTGGGCACATGCTTTCAGCTTGGAAGACTACAGAGAGCCCAAGACAGCAACATGGGTCAGGCCTCCCCCGATCCAAAGCGGCCAGTGTAGCCAACTGGGTTAGCCAGTCCTCTTGGACAATGAGTCGGAAACCGAACCTGTAGAGCAGAGTGCTAAAAGAGCACCAAAAAGCACCCCGGGAAAAGAACAACTACCTGGAGTCTCCATGACCCTTGAAAAATGGGGTCATTGCCCAAAATTATGGGGTAATGACCCCATTTTTAAGGGGTCATAACGACTCTAGGTACCCCCTTTTTTGCGGGCGGCTTCAGCTTCATATGTTCGTTGTCGGTATTGGTTGAGTTCTTCCTTGGGGGAAGAGCAGTACCCGTGGGGTTCAAACCACCATTACAGGCATGGGGGGGTTAATATAACCATCATCAGGCACCTAGGGGTTGTCCTCATCTATATTGGGTTAATCATTCTTGCAATGGGGATTGAACCCTAGGGTATAGACATATTAAGCCTGTATAGTCAGCTTTGCAGAACCACACGTGATGAGTTTCGAGCGCTCTAGAGAGGTTTGGGCAAAGTCTCAGGTTGTTGGTTCCTTCGGGAGGGACATGAGGGAACTCACTACATGCAGAAACAAAGAGAGCACAAAGCTGCCTGGAGTCTCCATGACCCTTGAAACATGGTTGGTCATTGCCCAAAATTAAGGGGTAATGACCCCATGTTTAAGGGGTCATGGAGACTCTAGGTGCACTCGGTGGGCAGTAGGTGTATTGGGACCCCGGATTCCTAAGCCATCCCACTCTTTTTGTTTGCGTGGCGGCTCCTTGTTTGGAACTTACGGGGGTCGGCTGAAAAAAAAAGTCCAGGGCTATGGGCGTGTCTTTTTCGAGGGCATGTTGGGTTGGTTTTATCGAGCCAAAAGGGCAAAACACGGTAAACACCACACCATGTTAAATGGCAGTGTGTCAAAAATCGGGTAACCCCAACATGGCTTGCCCTGGTAAATGGAAACAGGGACGCCTCCCCCCCCCCCCCGAAACACTAATACTCCCCCCCCCCATCATTGTTCGTTCGAACAATACCCCGCCTCCCCGAACAACAATACTCCCCCCCAAAAAAATGGTGTTTGTCCAACAAGACCCCTCAAACAATAATACTCCCCTGGTGGCTGAATCTTGACCCATCCCCAACCCAGAGGCTTCCGATTGATTTAGGGCCTTCAAACAACCTGGCTTTGAGACCGGGTCCCAACCACCTCCGGGGTGTCTAATGGAGGGGTCGGGTCTTCCATTGAAAGCCCAAACCAGGAGCCTCTGGGAAATAAAAATTAACCTTCAATACCACCCCCCCCTTCCAAACAAACAACAATATATACCTGGAGTCTCCAGACCCTTGAAAAATGGTTGGTCACTGCCCAAAACTAAGGGGTAATGACTCCATTTTGAAGGGGTCCTTAGAAAAAACTCGAGGTATACTCCCCTGGTGGCTGAATCTTGACCCATCCCCAAGAACCCATCGAAACCGAGCCATCGGATTCGATGCTGCGGTGAGGTTGGCGGAAAGCCCTGCAGGGCTCCTTTTTTGGGCCCCTCGGCGGGGAAAAAAGAAAAGACCCGGCGGGGGCAAGGGGAAGGTTTGGGTCATCGAAGGAAGGGGCTGGGAGTTTGGAGTTTGGTTGGGCGCCATGGGAAACTAGGTCCCCCCAGCAATTGGTGCCAACTTTTACCGTTTCTTTTTTGGTTGGGAGGGTTCCCCTACTATAATAGATTTCAGAAAAAGGGCACCCGTATTCTAACCTCTCTACTGGAGGACCTAGGAAAAGCATGGTGGATGTCCACCACACAAGTGGGTTGGGCGTCGGAAGGAATCAGTTTCCCCACTCGGCTTGAGATTGGGGAGGATTTGAAATATATATATATATATGTTTTGCAGCCAACGAGGAATGCCCCAAACCACCAATCCAAACCACCAGTCAAGGGTTACCTGACAGAAGGAATGTTGGGGTCTTCCCTCCGGGAAACCAAGCGCCATGGTAAAGGAGTGGTCTTTGAAGCTCAAATTGGAGTATGCGGGTCTAATATCAATCCGCCCGTTCAGAGTGGTTGGAAGTTACCCGAACCTCGGTGGATCTGAATGAGTTAACTTCGCCAGGGGAATTCGAATTCTCCGTCCCAGGTTGGGTGGATTCAACTTGAGTTACAACCCTAAGGTATCCTCAACAAGCAATTCTCCCCTCATGCATGGACTCTATTGGTCGCTCTTGTTTGGATTCGAGGATAGCCATCAAAAGGCGGGCCTCGATGGACATGAGTTTGCAATCAGAACAGTAGATCTTGGAATGGTTTAAAGGGACACCAAAAGGAAAATGGGTGTGTCTTTGAGTTGGTACCCTGTTGTTTTTTTGCGGTTAAAACAAACTTTTGTCTTCCATTGGTATTTAACCTAGAGTCTCGGGCCAAGACTTGCTTTTAGGTCGGCCCAAGATGAGAGCGAGGCTCGCAGGGAGAGGGTGCCCGGCCGAACGTGTCGTCTCGTCTCAGAAGCTGAGTTGGAGCTTTGCAATTTGGTTCGGACCACAGGAACCAAGCATAAGTGTTGTTAACATGTGTTTGTTTCTTCTTTTTTCCGACCGATCCACTCAAGTGATTTCTGGCTATAGTGGTTGGAAGGGAGGTTGACTTCCATTAAGTCATGGTTGTTGTTGGGAAACATTGGACACATTTTTGCTTATTGTGGTTTAGTGGTTGAAATCCAACCACTTAACGGCTATTTTTTTTGTTTTGCTCCCCTTCCAACGTCAACCAAGAAGTGTTCTTCACATGTTTTTTTTTCTTCTCCGACCGATCCACTCAAGTGATTTCTGCGTCGATGTTCCAGAGCGATCTTAGCTTTTAGGCAGACTAAGTGGTTGAAAGGGAGCCAAGAAGCGAGAGTCCAAATATGCCTGCAAAGAGGGAACTAAAAGGAGCTACCAAAAGTTCGGTAGAACTTTAGGCCACAGCGTTGCACATATTTTCTGGGACCTTCAGCCGTGTCTTTCTTTTTTGGGGAGGGGGGTTTGGTTTCCGCTTAAATCAACGATTTGTCCCATGGCCACAGGAGGCTTGTCCGAATACCCGCTTGTATCATATGTTGAAGAACCGTTTTTCATGGGGGAGGGTTGACATCAGACCGTATCCCACACGGAAAACGTGGGTATTGGATGTAGGGGGTACAAAGTCCTTTCTAGAAAAAGACTTGGAATCATTGCGTTCGCCTTCTTGACGCGTGTTTCGGATGCGAATACACTAGGGAAGGGGCTGCAAAGAGCAATGGGTGGGGTTGAGAAGTTGATGTTGTTGTGTTCATGGTTACATCATGTCGCTATCCATCTAAATAGTCATAATTTGCAGTTGATTCATCCAAATGTTGTAATTGCCATGGTCCAAAGGCACGTGGGGCCTATCAGCACGATGCACACTGCCTGTCTTGTTGCAGATCCCGCGGCAGGAGACGCCCGAACGGCTGACGGAGGCTTCGAGCCTCGGCAATGCATTGAGAACTTTGTGAGGTTCAGGTAGGATACATTTTGCATTTTACCAGTGACTCAAAGTGAAGCAAACAAGAAAATCTACATTCTACAACTGGGCCTAACTGTAATCATGGAGAGAGGTTTTCCTAAGGGCGTTCACAAACACGGTGGACTCAACTTGCCTTGCTCTTCGCCCTGAAGGTGTTCCTTACTTGTTGTTCAACCAACAGGTACCGTTTGGGTCTACGTCTGGAGTTGAGTAAGAGTAAAGCCCTTTACGGTCCTTGTTTTGTCAAGTGTTCAAAAGGTTGACCGTGAGTTTTTTTGCAGACTCTTGGTTGGCTGGTTTTTGGCTCGTCCCAGCCGTCCCCGTAGGTTTTTAGGTTGTTAGGGTTTAGTGGGGGTTTAAAAAGTTAAATTTTTAGTAGGGGATCTGAGGAGAGTCCAGGGTTGATTCGTTGGTTGGTTGGTTGGTTGGTTGGTGGGTGGGTGGGTGGGTGGGTGGGTTGTGGGTTGGTGGGTTGGTGGGTTGGTGGGTTGGTGGGTTGGTGGGTTGGTGGGTTGGTGGGTTGGTGGGTTGGTGGGTTGGTGGGTGGGTGGGTGGGTGGGTGGGTTGGTGGGTTGGTGGGTTGGTGGGGTGGGGGTGGGTGGGTGGGTGGGTGGGTGGTGTGGGTGGGTGGGTGGGTGGTGGGTGGGTGGTGTGGTGGGGTGGTGGGTGGTGGTGGGTGGTTGGGTGGTTGGGTGGTTGGGTGGTTGGGTGGTTGGGTGGTTGGGTGGTTGGGTGGTTGGGTGGTTGGGTGGTTGGGTGGTTGGTTGGTTGGTTGGTTGGTTGGTTGGTTGGTTGGTTGGTTGGTTGGTTGGTTGGTTGGTTGGTTGGTTGGTTGGTTGCTTTATTGGTTGGTTGCCTGGCAAGTCAGACGGCGGCCTTATAGTTTACCGCCCAACAACTCGGGACCCAGACCCCCCCAAGCCTTGAAGACCGTCCTGTTGAGGCGGGGCAGTTTCTTCCAAAGGACAACCCCGTTTTTGAAGTGCTCTGAGACTTTTTAAGGGGCGGAACAAAGTGGTCTGAGAATCAAAACTGGCATCCCTGACCCTCGTGAGACCCAGATTCGGAGCTGAGGCTGGCTCATTTCCAGAAGAGGCCGGGGCTCCGAAACGTTGAAAGTCCGGGATGACGAGCATCTTAAACACGGTTCCCGTTGCAGAAAACTTCGGCGGGTTCCACGAGGGTTCCACCACGGTTCCACCAGGCTTTGAGGGTTGCACGAGGTTCTGCAAGGGCTGCGGTGGTCCAGCACGGCCCTGAGGTAAGGTGCCACGAGGGTTTCCACCAGGGCGAGGGCTCTGCGAGGGCTGCGGGGTTGCGGGGCGGCCCTGAGGTAAGGTTGGGCAAAACCGGCGCTGCGCTATGATTGGTGGCTTGGATTGGTGGTTTGCTCCCCGGGCCCCGGTCGGGCACCGATTGCACCGTCGGGCCCCGGTGACTTTTGTATAGGTAAAGCGGCATCCTAAGCAAACCGGCGGTGCGCTATGCTTCCTGGGCTGCGCTCGGGCTCGAGCGCAAAAAGGAGCACCGCATGCTGGTGGATATCACCTGAGCTTATTTGGGCTGGATTTCAAGGGACACCAACTGTTTTGAGACACCCATTGCTACGATACCCAGAGACACCCATTGCCACGATACCCAGGGAAGATTGTTTTGAAACAGAAAATCATGGAAGTGAGGTCCGGGCGCTTCCCCAAACACAACCCAACAGGAGGGTAGTCTCCAAAACTCGGCTGTGAGTTCCGTGATTGTTGCCGATTTCTGCGATAATAAGAGGACTTCTCCTCAAGTGCCAAAGTAGTCATGGATGATGAAGCAGGCCTGCAACGAGGATGGAAAAACACGATGTGTTTTTGTCACATTGCAAGTGTAAGCCATGCGCAAAGCCACAAACCATGCTATATATTTAACTGAAAAATTGGAGTCCCTTGCTTGCAATATTTCCTTTGCTCCTGGCACTTGAGAGGGCATCTATTTGTATCTTCCAAGCACCAGGTGCCTTTGGTTCGTGGGAGGGAGGGTAGGGGCTTGCTTTGTCAGCGCTTCGTGAGGAAGTCCTCCTTGACTCAGATCATGGATGAAGGCACCAAGAAGGAGCCTAAGAGCATGAAGGCGCGGAGGGATTTTTTCTCTCAGGCCCTGGCTAGTTGCTTAGGGCTGCAAACGCCCCAGTCTTGCTGGTTTGATAGGCCGGGAAGGAGTTGGGAATCACCACCAGCAAGTAAAAGAATGGCCCAACGGCTCACTTCTTAAGTTCCGGGACTCGGACTTTAGTCACTTTTCGTGGGTGGACCATTGTGGTAAATAACCAGTTCGGTTGTTTTTCTTGGAAATCCACTCAGGGTCTTGGGTGCAGCGGCTGCCAACGTCGAAGGGCACCGACCGCTTCTGATTTCTTCGACAACGTGCATGGGATCGATTGACGACAAATCCGACACTTCAAACCTCGACTGTTTTGTCAGAGCTGACGGAAAGCAGACGGAGTTGGCGGCTACCTGCATGACGGACAGCAGCCAGTTCGGGCTTCCAGCCCGACGGAGGTGGCGTCTACGTTTTGGTCCGGGTTACTTGGAACCGCATGCTCGACTTCAGGAAGCTGTCTTTGTCGCGGCAGTTGGAGACTCCCCGAAAAAAACATACCCTCAAAGCTAAGCCAAACATCGGAGGGGGGGTACATGGATGATCAGTTTCCTCTTGGAGGGGCCCCTTGGTGTGTCAATTGGCGGGAGGGGTTTCTCCGAAACAGCTATCTGGGCTTTGGTCTTGCACCACCTGTCTGGGCGATTCCATCGGGAAGCCTTCAGGACTCCATGTGTATGGTTCGTTGCGAAATCCGCGAATGTCGCACGCAAGAGAAACCCAGGTGTTTGATTCGATTCCCCTCCAAATACCCACAGTGGTTTCAAAGTGGCGCATTGAGAGGGGAATCATCCAAAACTCTAGGGTTTTAACCACGGTTTCAAAGTGGCGCGAAATGGATGTCGTCCATCCACAGTATGAATACTGGCTGATAAACCACCAATCATGACCACAGACGTAAATGGGTGTGGTTAAAAAGCGGTTGGACCCCCAACAAATGTGATTTCCTTTTAAATCCGTCCCAGCAATGGCACCCTTGAAAATCAACACACCCATACTTGGGTGTGTGTCGATATGGGACATGTGGTTTTCCTTCGAAGAAGGGGAACAGGGCATCCTCAAAACACGGCCTTCCAGCAGCCCCCGGACTGTTTTTCCCATGTCAGCCCTGTGTCCAATGACCGATTGCTTGGAAATAGCCGGTATTCAACTTCTCACTTCCTGAATGGACTGCCCCAACAAAGCTCCCACACGTTGTACTTACCACTAAAATGGTCCCAGCCAAACAGGGACTAAAGTCCATTAACTGGCTTCAGACTTTGTTCATGGGTTAAAATTAGGGCCAACGATGCAAGCTGGTCCCCATCCTTGTTTGGAACCTGCCGACATGTCGCCAGCGTACGTGACGTCCGACCTGAGCCACCACCCGACTGCAAGTTGGATCCGATAGCGTCGATCGTTCCAGCTGGGGAATATATACATACACAAGAGGTCAATGGGCTTGGTTATTTGCTTGGATCAACAAACACTGAAAAAGGTTTGCCTAGATCCTTGAGCGTTGTTGTACATGGGTGGTTTGTAGCCAGAGTTGCGGCCCCTCAAAAGGGCGCACAAGGCCTCAACAGATCATCGGATATTCCAAATGTGTCTTTGGGTGAACCCCAAAATGATGGGTTTCCCATGAGGAGCCTCTATTTTGTGGGTTCAAAAGGGCCAGCAAAAACGTTAACCCATGTTTTTCTCCATGTGACGCAGGCTCGAGCCGACTACATGCGATCCACCCCGACTCGGTCCTCCATGCAACCCGGCTGGAACAAAGCGCGCGTGGACAAGGGCGGGCTCGGCTTTTGTCTCGAAGAAAACCAGAGGTGATGACCCAGGGTTGGGATCGCTCGGGGTTTCTCCAACCACTTCTGTGATACAAGCATGGTCGTTGTTGGGAAACATTGGACACATTTTTGCTTATTGTGGTTTAGTGGGCAATCCCCACTTAGCTGCTAAAATTTGAGAATTTTTGCTCCCCAAAAACCAACGTCAACCAAGCAAGGGAATCCCCCTTTCTATTAACAAAATAGTCTTTGGGAAGCCCTTTCTGTTGTATCACAGAAGTGGTTTCCATTCCCCACAGCCCTGTGTTGGAACCAACAGACCAAGTGTTGGAACTGAAATCCGGGAAACCCGAAGGTTAGATCAGGTCGATTATCTTGCAAGTAAGAAGCTTGGAAAGTCCGTGGGGGGACCCTCCCTGACCTGGATGTTCTTTCCGCTTTTGCTCAGGTAACCGAGCCTCATGATCAGTTGGTGGTAGAGGATAAACGGGAAACCACCCCGTAACTACCAAACAGACACCAAACCACCAATTCGCGGCAAGCGGAATTTAGTATTTTAGGGCAGCATGTTTTACGGGGAATCTATCACTGCTGAATGAGAGCAGCAAATGGATGACAACATATTAATAACACAGAATCCGCATTTATTTTCAAGAAGGAGAGGTTGATTTGCGAGGTTTGTCCCTAACTCCTTACGTTGAAAGTAGATGGCACAATCCTCCCCATTTCAGTTGAGTCGCCGCGTTCCCGGAAATGGAATTGTGCCATCTTTGTCTCAGTCCCCGAGTTGGACTTGGCATGCTTTTGAAGATTTCCTGGTTGTTGTTGGGACACATGTTTCCCATTTTTGCTTGTTGTGGTTTAGTGGTTGAAATCCCACCACTTAACAGCTAAAAGTTTGAGAATTTTCGCTCCCCAAACCCAACGTCAACCAAGATAACCCTGGGAGCCTGGGAGCCTGAAGAAAAAAAATGGTCTGAGCCCTAGGCGCATCTCTCAACTCAACCAGGGGCTTTTTTTTCTCCATACCCAGCCCTTCTCATCTCTTCGCGGCCGAGATGAAAAGGTATGTGTGTGGGTGTGTTCTTCTTTGAGGGTACTATTTTTGGGTACTTGTGAAGGGGAACCAACAAATATATAATCATTTTTTGGGGTCCCCCATTTTGACACATACCCAAAACGGGGGTTCCGCCTCAAAGACCCCAGCAAGCCCTAGCTCAGGTTCCGCCACGCCATCCACGACTCAGATCTCGGTGCCTTGGGTCTCGGGTTGGGAGTGACCTGCGGCACCTGCGGCACCATTTTTTTGTGTGTGTGCGTGTGGTTGTTTGTTTGTTTGTTTGTTTGTTTGTTTGTTTGTTTGTTTTTTTGGGCAATGTGTTGTTTTTTGTATTTCCTGCTTTTTTGGTTGTTTGTTTTCTCTTTGGAAGCGAAGAGGTGTTTGCAATCCCTCGAAGCGCGGCTTGGTCTGGTGGTTCGGAGCTTAGGGGAGAGGGTTCCCATTTGCCCTCTACAAGAACCAGAGGTTCAATGCCAAACCACCAATCCAAGCCATGAATTTTGGGGAAGCTGAAGCAAGCATACTTCAGACCCTTAGTTGTTGGTTTGGATTGGTGGTTTGGATTTGGATTTCAACTCCAGTACCTTTTGAAGCAAAATGTGGAAGGTACCCCTAATTTCCAAACCGCCAAACCAATCCACCAATTAAGGGCACCTGTGCTTACTGGTCTCTGGCCACTGGGAGCCTTTTACTAGTGGGGCCATGACGACTCCACGTAGTAATCTTTTTTGGCAAAGATGGGGGTTCCTGCTTACCTACTGTAGGATCTCATTTGAGTTCATTCAAGGGCTGACGAGGCTGTTTTCCTTGCTGGTTCTCGGCATGAAATGAGTTAGAATGACCATCTATGAACCATCCCCGGTTGCCTTAAGGGATTTCACGGTCTCCTCCCAAACTGATTTGCATTTAAGAAGGTTGCTTAAAATGAATCGGAATCTGAACATTTCTGTGTACTCCAGTAGTTTCTCAAAATTATCTTTGGGTCCCTCCACATGGCGAGGGTTTAAAGTGTTATCCTTTAAGAACCAAAAGGGAGGCCACCATTTTACAGGTTTCCCTGAATTGGTCTGGGGTAGACTTAGGATAGATACATTTTACATTTTACCAGTGACTCAAAGTGAAGCAAAGAATAAAATATACATTTTATAATTGGGCCAAACTCTAATCATGTGGTGGTTTGGATTGGCGGTTTGGGATATGAACCCCTGGTTCTTGCAGAAGGTAGATAAGAACTCCTCCTTAACCACCGAACCACCAATCCAAACCAACCTTTTCGAGGGAAGCTGCTTTTGTTGAAAGCACCAGGTGTGGCTTTGCCAAGACAGGAACTTGACACCGAGGTGTGATGAGTCGGAGTAAGCTCGTGGACGATCTGAAGGATCAGTTGAACAAGGCATGGATGGAAACGGAACCAGTGAACCCTCAACCTAGAGTCTCCGAGGCTGGAAATGGGGGGCCATTCCAGGACAGGATTCTTCTAGCTATGTATATATATATATATTGTAGATTATTGTTTATTTCCTTTTGGGAACGGGAACAAACTCATATTTGCATATCAAATGTTATTTGCATTTAAGGGATCAAACATGGCAGTTTTACATCCATTTAGCGGGTTCCAACTGCAATGGTGCCTATTTGGGTTGCTGGCTTCCTGTTGGTGCAAACGTTTGGGATCGGCGCCTTTCTCCGATTCGAGGACAACCCTTCGGGCAGCGTCCCGGACCCGCTTGTTTTTTCATCCATGACCATGCAAAAGCAAACATTTCAGTAAAACAAGAAGCAAGCCTTATTATGCGGGGTCTTTGGATCAACCCCCACTCCAAATTCGCGCTCTGTGCAGGGTATATTCTGAAGAACCAGAGTGACAAATATACTTGCTCTTTCTTGGAATACTCTATATACCCTCTTTCTCTTTTTCTAAATGTCTTCCTTTTTGTTGATCTACTCTAAGTAATGTGTCCTTTTTGGCTAGTTCTTTTTTTGTTGGAATGAGAAATTGAGGGAGTGACCCTGAAAGAAACCATCCCCAATGGCTTCCTTTAAGGGACCCTATCGCACCAGCAAGCCCAGTCAACAGTACCTTCCTTTTTGTTGCTCTATTCCAGATGCGTTTTCCTTTTGGAGTAGGTTCTAAATGCGTACTTTTCCTGCGGTCTTGCTCGATTCTAGACGTGTTTTCCCGATCTTTTGAGTAGATGCGAACTGCATGTTTTCATGGTGCCCGATAGCGCCTTTCGCTTCTGGCCGCCCAGCCCTCCGATGGCGCACCGTTTTCGAGGTGGAGATGTTCACGAAGCCGGAGATCTGCGAGTTGTTCTTGACCTACCTGCGCCGGGGCCTGCAGATCACCAAGCTCTGCCCGGCGCCCCGAGGCTTTTTTTGCTTTTTTTTTTTTTCTTTTTTCCGGTTTCCGGGTCCGATCATTTTTGTGCGTCCTGAATGGAATTGAGGGAGAAGAATGCCCCTGGCTGCGAGAAAAACATATTCGCTTCTTGTTCAGAGTCCGAGCATATTTTCTTCCGCCTAGAAAGGAAGGCTCCGAGGCTTTTTTTTTCCGAGTCCGATCATTCCCCCCCCCCTCGTGGAATTGGGGGAGAAGAACCAAAACAACTGGAGAGTTGGGTTTAAAAGCCAAAAATCCTGGTTGGTTTTAAAGGGATCCGATTTCACTGCTGGACACAGGTACCCCAAAGAAGGGCACACCCATATTAGCTGTTGACCAAAAAGTTGGTGCATCTACCGCAGGCGACCTTTAAACAGAAAAAAACAACAACGACTTGGAGAAAGGCGGGTCGTTGGAGTAGGGGGTCGCGTTTTTTAAGAGAGCACGACGGGGGCACGTGATTCTGAAGGTGGTGCAGGATGTCGTCCATCCACAGTATGAAAGGGAATCTCAATATATGAATTTGTTTTCTTTGTCCCCGAATTTGGACCAAGAAAAGACGACGCGCCTTTGCTTAAGACAACATAATGATCCCCACCTTTTGTTTGGGCCCGTTAAATAAAACCATTACACCCACTTTTCAGGGAATGATGCCAACCCTTGACTGACGAGAAACCAGGTTTGTTTTCAAGATATGCCCAGAACAAAACTGGGTACTTGGAGTAGGGCGTCATCATTTTAAGACAACATGATGGGTGGATTTGTTGTTCGACCTCCAGCCAGTTTGTTGGGCCTGTTTGCCAGTTTGCCTGTTTGCCTGCCTGTTTGCCTGCCTGCCTGCCTGCCTGCTTGCCTGCCTGCCTACCTGTCTGTCTGTCTGTCTGTCTGTCTGTCTGTCTGTCTGTCTGTCTCTTTGTCTCCCTGTCTCTCTGTCTCTCTGTCTCGCTGTCTGTCTGCCTGTTGTCAATGAATTGTTGCATGCTTAAGTGATGCGTGGGTTGGTTCTGCATTAATTCATGTATTTATTCACATAGTTATTTGTTTATTCACTGGTTTAACAGTGTCTTTGCCAAGGCTTCTCTGGGCCGGTTGTTGTTTCTTTCTCTCTTTCTTTTCTCGCCGAGGCGTCATCATGGACCCGCTGAATCCAAAGGAGTGCTCTGGAGGGCATACGGAGGACAAGCTGCAGCTCGGATCCGAAGACCGATCCTGGCTCGTCTTCACTGATCCGAATGTGGGTTTCCTCTCGTTGCCGTTGCAACCGAGACTCTAGCTCTAGGTTTTGTTTGGCCCACATTAAAAGAATGGCCCAAGAGGACCCAATTTGGAGGATCCTGAACAGCAAACAATGGTGCCTATATTAACCCAACCATTGTTTTAGTGTTGGTTTGAACCACAGGGTTTTCACAGAAGCGACGCACACCGATTTCAATAGGGCCATGTGAGTAGGTGGTTCCGCCTGGTCTTATGTTTTTTTTGGAGTACGGCCCATGTGAATCATTGTCACCATGGAACGAAGAGTCAACGGCCGCGGGCCGCTGCTCAATTGGACCGGAAGAAACATTCACGTGGCAAAAGGTTACGTCCCTGAAGTGGGTTGTACGCTCAGTGGGTAACAATCGCTCATCCAATTGGTTGGGACATCTCCCTGTTTGTGTGCTGAACTGTATTCATTGCTTGGGTATACTGATTCTTACTCACTCTAGGGCTGGACATCATGAAGGTTTGCTTCCTGTAGATCCCATCTCTTATTTTGCAACAAGTTGAGATGTTTTTCCGAAGGATCATTCTAGGGGTTGATTCAACCATGGTTCTTTTCAAAAACCAGCTGTTTCCCCAGGGATTTGGGTGCTTTAAAACGAAGGATGCCTGGAAAGAATGGGGAAGGTACCCCTAGAATCATGAATACTCCCCCCCTTGGACCTTGAAAATGGGGGCCCCTTCAGACCGGTGTCCTGTTCGGGGTCAGATGCTTCTCTTTTTCCGGGCGAGGTTGCTCCCTGAGCCAGACTTCGCATCTTTTCGGGTCACCGTTTGAGGTGCCTGGCGACCCACGGTCCGCGGTGTAAAACGGCGTGTTTCCTAAATCCGTGGATCCGTTTTTCGTGCCTTTGCGAAGAATGGCCTTCCATTGGCTGAAATGAACGTGTGAAACAAACCAAAAAATACACATTCACCCTTTTGGTTTTGTTTTGAATCGATTTTGCCACTTGTTTGAAGGGGACTCTGCAACTGGACTCTCTCAGTTGTTCAAAGCCGACCTTTTGACCTTTTGGTTTTCCTATTTTGGTCCATATTTAGTCATGGCCCCAAAAAGTTAACCTTTTAGTTGCAGGTCCTTTGGGCAACTGAGCTCTACATGCGGTTCTTCAAAGGAGGAACCTCTTGCAAAGCCAAAGGCCCTTGAAACCCGGCCGCGGCCAACAAGTCAACGAGCCTTCGTGTCAGTTTTGTTCTTTGTCGTTTCTTGGCAGGTGTGTTGGTTTGTTCCTGGTCTTTGGCAGGTCCATGTGCCTCAGCAACTTTGTGATCTTAGCCAGCGCCGGCCCCAGCCGCAAAAAAAAAGACAAACAAACAAACCAGCGAGGGGAGGCATGACTTTTGTGTCCAGCTCGATGTCTCGCGGTCTCACTCCTCCAGTTCCGAAGAAGAGTTTTTACTCTTGGCGAGAAGACCATGTACAAAAAGGCATGAACATGAACAAAAATGCGAGTGATAAACAAACAGCAAAACATCAATGAACATGTGAACATGTTTTGGAGTTAGTGATAAACAAAAAGACTTGAACATGTTTTGGCCAATCTACTCAAGTGAGTGGTGGGTTTCAACATCGCTTTCTTGGGCCAATTTGAGGAGCCATGTTTGGGAGGCATTGAAATGGAAGCCGAAATGAAACCAGCCATTTCCAAGGGGGACGGCCAGGCTTTTCTGTTTGGTGAGTTAAAGCACCCCATTTAGAGGTGAGTTTACCTTGGGTGTGAAACGGAGACATGTACGGCACGCGCCAGGTGTTCCATGCTCAAAAGACTGATTCCTGTGCTTTGGGTTTGCAGGGATGGTCGTCCACCCTGCAAGGATCCCTAACACTCATAATGATTCCTATTGAGGGAGCCATGCCCCAATCAGCCAAAGAAGAGGAGTTTTGACCATGGCTCGTGTCTTGGGAATGAGGGATCCGGGAAAACCCCTTCGAAGCAATCCCTTGTGTTTTTTTTGAAGGGAATCCGTGGTTTCATTCCCACATTCCGTATCGCACCAGCCAGTTGTGTCCGATTCATTTGGTCAAAAGTCGACCGCGGCCACTTCCGCGCCATCCTTTCTGAATTTGCTTCAATACTGCGCTGAGGGTTACTGTTGACCTTGGATAAATTCATTGCTGCGCTGTTCTTGGTATGTTTCTTTATTTGTTCGGTTAGTTTAGGGATTTACTGGGAGCTGCAATAATAGACTTTGCGAGCGTGCCAGGGTTTGGGAAGAGGATAGCAGTGTCAGTTTGGATGCATGCCATGTAGCGTTTGGATGCGAAACATACCTCTCTTGTGTACCAACATACTGTACCTTTCAAGCCTTGAGAAACTGAAGGAGCCAGGGTTCCACTTTTTGACAACCCCGAGATCGACTTATTCCCACGTGTTTTCCTTTTAGGGCTGAGTAGAATGTCTTCCCGGGAGAACGCTGCCAGTGACCCTTTTGCTTGTGCAGAAAGCCTGACAGGGTCCATCCAACCTCGACACGCTGGTACCTTGTCCGCCCCAGTGATTCCATTTCCCGGTATAGGTGACCCAGGTTTTCCACCCTGTACAAACCAAACGTGTCATGGCAAAGGGTCACTTTCCTGGGGTCGACTGCGTTGAGCTTCAACCGTTTGAACGTTTGTTGGTGCAGCTCTCTATTTCCCCCAACACATCGGTTTCCCTACAATACACCGCTTGCTAACTTGACGAATCGAACATTCAAGAAGTTCCACCCTTGAATTTTTCAGGGTTTCCCAGTTTCCCCGATTTCCCTTTTTGGGTTGCCCTTGAAGAATCGAATCAAACACAGCCTCGAATTTCCCTGCCCTGCCCCAACGGTCAACTGAGTTCCCAGAAGTCTCGCTTTTTTGGCCCCACGCTTTGGGTTCGGGGTTTCGACTTGGCCTCTGTTAACCCTTCGGCAGACTCTTTAGATAGAACAACTGCTACCTGGAGTCTCCCTAAGGACCCCTTATGGTTGGTCATTACCCCTTAATTTTGGGCAATGACCAACCATTTTTCAAGGGTCCTTAGGGAGACTCTAGGTAGTGCCGACAAGCCAAAAAGGTCCCGGGCCCCCCCCAACTTTCTAGCAAAACACAACTGGGAGGAAACAAAGATCAGGATCTCTGGCATCCGAAGAAACGCCCCCCCCTCCCCCCCCCCCCTCTGCTTCTACCGTGCCAGAAGCGGAGGAAAGAAAAATGCAATCCCAAAAAAGCATCCTGCTTCTACCCGACCAAACCGCCCAGAAGGCCAACCCCCGTTTGTTTTCCCCGCAGACTGCTTCGCTCCCCGAGCGAGCCGCGCTGGCGCACAGGCAACGACACCTCGGACTTCGCGGATGTGGAGGCGGTGAAGGCGAGAGTTTTGGGTGTCACGGAAAGCGCTCATCGGGCGGGATCCGAGCTTTTGACCTTGTCCCAACTTTTGCTCCAAAAGTGATTTTTGGGCTACCCTGTTTGGGTTTCTCTGTTTGGGTTTCCCTTTTTGGGGTTCCTTTTTGGCAACCGCTGAAAATAAAAGGGTTCCAAAAGGTGATCACCTTTTAGCTGTTTAGCTCCTACGGGCCACCTGGGCTTGGGGGGGTAAAAGGAAACCATCAGGAAAACAACAATTTTGGGGTCCCTTATTGTAAGACACACCTATGTGTTATTTGTTTTAGGGAAGACAACATATGAAACAGAGTCAGGTGTTTTGTTTTTAGAGTATCCCAGATGCGGGGCAGGATTTGGTATGTAGTTCTACCTCATTTCCGAGACGGTTTGAGGGAGGCCGTTTTTACACCCTGATCACCTTCTGTTGGTGGAGCTACTACTGGCATAGCTTTGGCATCAACGGGCTCGCCAGACAAAAGATGGGGTGTTTTGTTTCCCGAGTTTTCGCCATGCAGCTCCAATTCGCGGTTTTCACATTGGCTCAAAACAAGCATCAATAATTACGGCCTTGATTTAATTTTTGGGCTCCCTGCCCCGCCTCCCTATTTGCATGTGTGTTTGGGGGGGGGGGGGTGGCACTTCCCACACACTGCGGGAGTTATGACGGACTTGTTAAGGGTTGGTTCGCTTAATGAGACCAAGAGGAGGGGTGGCTAGGATTTGTTTCTGGATCAGCTATTTCTATCCCCCCCTTCCAAAAAGATGTGTTTTTGATTGTTTGGTGGTTTATTCGAGAGCTCCAGCATATCTGACCAAAGTGGGTATTGGGTGATTGCTCAAAAACCAAGCATTTGGGGGTGCTCTCAAACAACACACCCAAATAGCTACTCCATTAGCCCTACTTGGTTGCTCTTCCAAGTCAGTAAGTTGTTGGTAACCTAGGTCATATCCCATGTCTAAGGCCTAAGTGGGCTTAACCTTGACCCCGTGGGTGGACCCCAAAATGGCGATCACCCCTTACCCTACTTGGCCAATCAAAAGGTGAAACCTTGAGCTCGGAGTTGCTCGGAGTCGCCCGCTTTGGCGCGGTGACTCAGTGACTCACGCCAGGCGGCCAGCGAGCTGCGTGCGCAGCTACTGGCCACCGCGGTGGTGGCGCCTTGAATTCGCGGGCTTTTGCGGTGGCAGCACTGGGCTTTATATAGTCCAACTAGATGTCCCTTTTGGGGCGATGGATCATGTAACATGCTTCATGCGTGTTCTTGGATATAGTTGTTCTGTAGCCTCATGTCGCTGTCATGTTGATTTGTGCGCACAACGTAGTTGCCTTGGTTTGCATAGTTGCTCCCTTCACTGTCCATTCCTACCAAGCAAGCCTTTGATGCTTGCGCGGGGGCTTTGACAACCTCCTGCATGATTTGTTTTCTCCCCTGCTGCAAGTCCCCGAGATCAAACGAAAATGCGCAAAGAGACTGCAGCAACACCTCAGACCACCACAGAAGGCCAACATTCCTACCAGCCTTTGCCAAATTGTTTCCATGGCCATGGCCAATGTTCTTGAGAAATCAGTTTGGGATTGGCTCAAACCAGACTTACGAGCGAGTTTTTGAAGTTACCCGAAGTAGACCAAGGTTCTGGACTGTACCTCACTTCCCGAGTTCCTTTTACACTTTTCGGGGTTGGACCGTTTTAGTGGCAACAAAGTTTGGTTATTTGTTCCGCCCATTCTCGATCGGAAGCGAATTTACCTTTAGAAGCATCTTTGGACGGCAAACACAAAATGCCTTGTGTTAGTGGCAGCTTTGGTGGAGCAACCAGAAGTCCGATCAGCCTCGAAAGGAAATCCAGGCCCAGTGAGCTCGGGTTTCAACACGTGGTGGGGATAACCAGCCAACCGGTACGTGTCTTAGCGACTTTTTTGGGTTGAGTCTGTAACCTTCAACTTTTGAGAAGTGATGATTTTCCCCACGAACCAGCAACAAGCTATTTAACTGGTCAGGAAGTGAGACCAGAACCGTGACGACTCACTCGTTGCTTTTTTTCTTGCAAGGAACTGCGCTACGCCGTGGCATTGACCTACTTGTTCCTTGATCAATTTGGCGGAGGGGCAGTCGGGTCGCAACGGCACACCTGGGCAAGGAATGAGGGCATCAATTCGGGGATGCCATACGAGGTCATGTAATTCGGTGCATTACTTGGTCGCTTCAAAAAACCAAGTGGATTTGGATCTCACAATTAGTTGCATGACCCCTTAACAATGGGGTCGTTACCCATCAATTTTGGGCAATGACCCCATTTTTCAAGGGTCATGGAGACTCCAGGGATACATAGACGAACCCGGATTTGGATCGTTGGACTAACTGAAACCCCTATAGGGTTCCGATTTGTTTGCATGAAGCGAATGGCCGAAGGGGATGATCAAACCTGAAGGGCAACCAATGGTGGTCATATTAACCCAACCTTGCTTTTTTTTTTATGGTGGCCTGCCTGAACCTCAGGGAAACAGAAACAGAAAGTGGTTGACTTTTCTGTGTACTTGTTTTTTCTTTTTCTTTTTTGTTCGCGGGAGACTTGTCAAGTGGCCAGTTACCCGATGTTTTGCGTTTGTCCTCGTGGGAGTTATCATACCCCCACTGGGCTTACTATTCACTTGCCAGCTGGGCTGGTTATCCAAGTGGATGACCCGTAGGCGGGAGGAAACCCTAGGTGAGCTGCAGTGATCGCCCGCTTGAATGTCCCTCAATCATTGGTTGGCCCTATCATAAATTCCATCGCTAGGCAGTAAGTGAGAGCGGAAAGCTTTCGGCTGCAAGATGTCGAAGGTTGTCCTTTGTGTTTGTTGGTCGCGTTCCCCTGCAAACTCAACCAACAACGAAAAAGTGGGAGCCTACAAGTCAGGGGAACCTAAACGGGTTCTGAGAATCGAGTTCCAGCCCTCACCAAGCGAGGATCATCTGAGAGGAACCCATTTGTTGGAACTCGTTCAACGCGTCCTCTGGCAACAAGTTCTCAGCCGCTTCCAGGGATGTTGTTCAATGAGTTGTTGGAGCCTCTTTGCCATTGAAATCATAGCATCCACCCCTCCCTCAACCCCCTCCTCCCTAACCCCTTTCCCCTCCCTACCCCCTCCTTCCCCAAACCCCAAACCCTGCCGGGTGTGCTCCGTCAAGGTGCTTTTTTGGGGAAGCAAGGGGTTAGTTACCGTTCACTGGGTGCACGGCAACTCTTTTTGCCAATTTGAGCGGAGCATTTTGCCCACTGCATTTGGAAGTTATCATGTGTCACATGGCAGGCCACTCCCCTACACTGGAAGGGAAGCAACCCCGAAAAGCGTGGAGAACTGCAAACGTGCACCTGCATGTGTTTTCACGTGGTCCCCTCCTTTCTTGCGGCACCTCCTTGTATTCTCAACTATTCACACAAGGGAACAGTGTGGATTGTACCAATATGTCTTTGAGTAGTTTGATATGAAGGAAGTGCAGGCAAGGCTTGTTTTTGTTTTCAAAACATGGCCTTGAAACATCGACTGTGATAAAAAGAAATAGAATAAAATAAAATAAAGTTTAAAAAAAAAAAAAAAAAAAAAAAAAAAAAAAAAAAAAAAAAAAAAAAAAAAAAAAAAAAAAACGCGAAAAAGGCGCCCCTTCTCACGTCGGACAAAAAACATGTCCGTCATGAATCGGGACAGAACGCTGAAGATCAGCGACGGCTTTGGTGCTGTTTGTGCATGGTTTCTTTTCTGTGGATGTGTTCTAGGTCCCCCAGTGCCAACTTTTAACGTTTGTTTTGGTTGGGAGGAACCCCCCCTACTAAAATAGACAGAAGAAACAAATGGGTACCCTTCGAAGCTCTCTGGAGGACCTAGTGTTGCTTTGGGAGTTGGAAACATGGGTTTGTGGTTTTGAAGGGACATGGAACACCGAAACCACTTTTTATTGGTACCTCGTGTTGTGGATGTCTCTTTCTTTGAAGCTGGCACCTTTTGTTTGTGGTTTTTAAGGGAAAACACCAGGAAACTCAAAGCCATTATGGGGAGTTGTGGTTACCCGAAAAACAAAGAGACATCCTTGTGTTCAACTCAAGCAGTCAAAGGCATGACGATCCGTTTCTTCCCATTTGGCATTCCGTTTGGCAGGTTATCCCCCGCCACCCCCCCCCAAAAATAAAATAAATAGAATGACAATAAATAAATAGCACATTTATTGGTGCTCCTTTGGTTGCTCTCTAAAACAATAATCAGGTACAACCCAAAAAGACAGACCCATATCCGTGTCAGCCTCGCACTTGACACCCACTTGTGCCCCTTGGACCTGATTTGAGGCCATACTTAGGATCCAAAAGGCGCAAGTGGGTGCGCCAAACCAATATGTGAGCCGTACTCTGGAAGAATCCTAGCTTTACAACCCTTGATATGCATAATGTTGACCCAGGATAAATAAACCCGTTCCACTATTAGGGGGGTGTTCCAAAAGTGATGATTCCCCACTAAAAGGGGACACCCCCCTATTAATCAACCAGGGGTTTATTAATCCGGGGTTAACATTAGCTTGCAAAGAACGTGCTGTTGTTTGCAGCCTGCTACCTGAATACCTAAGCACTTGCCAACAACAGTGAAGCTAGGAAACATTGAGTTTCCAGCGACCCTAGTAGAAACAGAGTTGCTTCCAATTAGTTTGGAGACGAATGGTGGTTTGGTGGTGCTCTGGGTTGGCTTCCCTTTTATCCCCTGCAAGAACCAGGGGTTCAAATCTCCAAACTCAGGCTTACCTGATTTGTGGGTTGTTTGGCAGGCCAGGGAAGCAACAAAAGGAAATTTGTGCCGCTGATCAACTGGCGACCTCAGGCGCCGAAAAGAAGAAAACAACACACACTGGCGCCGAGGAAAAACATGTACGAGTCAGAGCTTTGATGAGGATTTAACCGTCGTTTCAAGCGTCAGGCTGATGGTTCTGAACATGTTCTCGTTGCTCCTGGCGCTGGTGCGAAACAGTCTGAGGCTCAGATTCGGTGTTACTGGCCGGATGCTAGGTTTTGCACCGGAAAGGAGAACACCAACCAGCGTTTGGGGGGTCCCCCCATTTTGAGGCACACCCATGGTCCATATTGCTGTGGGTCCAAACCGTTTTCGATACCATTTAGGTTGGGATTGGTGAATTCACCACCCAGTTTGGGCTTCCTATTTTAGTGGTTGGATTGAATCGGATGTTCACTGGGGGGCTAACCGATTTAGGTTTTGAACCATGGCCATGTAGTTCCGGCTCGTCTTTTCTGAGCCGAAAGCTAGGGGCTTCATACCTGGACTCTCCATGACCCTTAAAAGATGGGGTCATTGCCCAACAAAAATGGGGTCATGACCCCTTTTTCTAGGGGTCACGGAGACTCTAGGTAGGCCCTGTTGGGGATATCACCTGGCCGTATTTTGTTGGAGGAATTTCGTCTAAAAAAACACAGCTACCAGATGAAAATGTGTTGGAGTGGCTGAGGCAACATGGACTTATCTCCAAACATGAATCCCTAGAGTCTCCCTAAAGACCCCTTAAAAATGGGTGGTCATTACCCCTTAATTTTGGGCAATGATCCGTCTTTCTTTTAAGGGTCATGGAGACTCCAGGTCCTTTCATTCTGGAATCTGCCGAACATGCGAACGGGAAGGGTGCACTCCCTTCCCAAATGCTCTGAGTTCACTGAAACTGGAAAAGCCGATTTGCTCACTTCGCATCGAGTGCATTGGGCAAAAGTGACCTCTTTTTTTTTATACGACCCTTTTCCACACTTTTTTACTGTTAGTTTCACTCCCTCTTTGTTTGGTGGGGCCCCGTTAATGGCGTCAAACACCACATGTCAAATGGTCAATGCTATATATATATATATATATATCGATACTGTGGGTGGACAAAATCCATTTCGCAACACCCAAGAACCCTGGAATGCTGATTCCCTTGTAGATACCAACCAACAATCATTTTCCCGTGGGTTGAACGCGGTGCAGGATCTCGTCCATCCAATAGCATACTTTAATTTGGCCTAGATGAGATGACCGCTTCTCAAGATCCAACCTTTTGAAACTTTCAGGCAGCCCGGAGAACTAAGGAAAAGTAACTAAAAGGGATCACAAGTTGGAACTTGTGGTTTGGGGATCGGGAAGAGACAGGTGTGAGTGAGGAATGAATCTAGTGGCATTGTGTGATGTCGTTGGTACCCCCTACTCCGAGTCCCGGCGTGCTTTGCAGGCAGAGTTTGAATACCCAGGCTTTCGTGGCAACTAGCTCCTTTTATTCAGCGCTCGACATCACACCCCAGAAAAAATGTGGGTATTCGCAATACATATGAAGTATCGTTGCTCCAATCATGGTGAGTCGCAGACTGGCTCGTAAGACCAGCATTTGTGACAACAGACGATCAGCCGATGCTTGTCTTGTAGATGCGGAGAATGCTTTTGCCCGGAAGTATCAGTTAGCTGGCCCTGACCGAAATTCACTCTCTGAGTTTGTTGTTACTTTTGGTGATCACAATTTTAGTAGCATACAACAAACTATTCACCCTACGATGTCCATCTTCTTGTTTGCTTGAACCTTGCCACCATGAATGCTGATACAAGTCATCGGCTGTAGCTGCCGCACGTTTGCCAGTGCGCCCGTCTTAGGCACGGCTGACTACTACATGTTGCTTGGCATAGATTGGCATTGTCAGAATTAGCCTTGCCGGGCATTTGGATTGAAATCTTACATTTCTCCTGTCTTTCCCCCTTTGGATGGAGTGTTACACCAGACCTATTTCTATCCATCATCTTTCTCTTGAAAAAGCAGGCGTATTCTGCACGTTTCTGTTCTGTGCGCTATTTTGTGAGAACTATGCTTCCTGGCTCCAGAATTTTAGGGGAAGTCACCCGTAGGATGGGGGGGGGGTCCGGTGGAGTCGGCACTTTGTCCTGAAGGCTCTTTTGAGTTGTTTTGTCCAGGGTTGTGGGATCAAGGGGTTTCTCCCCACTTCTGTGATACAAGGGAATCCCCCTTTCTATCAACAAAATAGTCTTTGGGAAGCCCTTTCTGTTGTATCACAGAAGTGGTCATTCCCCACATCCCTGTTTTTGTCAGTTTCCCCAGTTCCTGACTTAGACTTTGGTTGCTGCCATTTCGAGTACCATTTGTTGAGGCACATATTTGTTGTTGGTGGCAAACACAACGTGTGGTTTTTGTTGGGCCAATCAACTCAGCTGGGGTAGACTTAGGATATCTTAGGATACATTTCACATTTTACCAGTGACTCAAAGTGAAGCAAACAATGAAATATACATTTTATAACTGGGCCAAACTCTAATCATGTCAGGAAGTGAGTTTCCCTTTTATCCGCAACAATATCGCTTTTCTGGGCTAGCTACCTACGGCTCTCCTTCCGAGCGCCGTTAAGGGCTCCTTCGAAGGAAGGTCCGAGGAACCTGTCCTTTCGTAGGGGCGCACGGCTTTTATGCTTTTGGGGTCGGATGTTCATGCACCTCAAGTGAGCATATGCAAGTGAGCTCCCATCTAAACGTGGCCCCCCAAAACCTTCCATTTGCTTAAGATTAGTTGTGTTTAAGTGTCCCCTGCTTTAAAGAGAATACATCGCAACTGGATTCGCTTTTTGGGGGGGCCAAAGCAAAGATTGGAAAGCATGGGATTTGTGTTCTTCCCCCCAAACATGTTCATGCCAAAAGACGGATGTATGTCTTACCCCGAAAATGTGTCGGTTCGTTTTGCGGGGGAACGGTCTCTGATTTTCGGTTTCCACCCCCAAACTACGGGGAGGCAGGGTCGAATATGCTGCCACTATAGCCATTAAAGGTTGTATTATATACCCCAAAAAAGGGAATCCAACCGTTTCTGGGCCTCCAACCATATTCTTATAATGTTTTCGGGTAAACTCAATAAGGAAGAGCTTGCCTGACAGAGCATCTTCTGGCCAGTCAGCTCGGCTGGTCAAATGGAGTCAGAACAATATGAGTACGGGTCAAACCCTACCCCTGGTGAACATCAAAATAGGTGGGACATGGGGACATGGGTGTTCATCCGCCCAAAAATGGAGGCATAGGTTATGGCCATATGGGTGTGTCTTGTTTTTATTGGGGGACCCCTCCACGATGGCGTCGGTCCTTTTGGTTTCCCTCTAAACCTCCCGACCGTGGGGACCAACTCAAGCAAGACGAGCCACTCATATCGAACAAGTTCAACGTCAGATGGCTACTTGGATGTTCGATTCGCCAAGTTTGTAAGTGGCTCGCCACTTGGGCTTGTTCACCCCCTAAAAAGGTTACCCCCACCCGGTGTACCCGGAGTCTCCATGACCCTTTAAAAATGGTGTCATGACCCCCTTATTTCGGGTAATGACCAACCATTTTTAAGGGGTCCTTAGGGAGACTCTAGGTCTTGGGTTCCAAGTCAATCAGGTGTCCTTGAACTCCGTGGCAGGATGTTCCTGCCGGAGCCCCTGAAGCGCTGGGGCCTGCCCGCGGTATCTGCCACCTCCACCTTCATCTCGGGGCTTATGGCCAGGTTTCGCTTCACGCCCCTCGGCTTGCAGCAATCCCATTCGGGGGGGGGGTGGTCCAAGGGGGGGCTCCCTATGGCTCCCTACTTGGGTGTTCGAAGTGAGTAAGTTCTTGGCAACCTAGGCTACGACCCACTGAGAAGTCTCCCAAAGTGGGGTTAGCCTTGATATAAGGTGGCTATACCCTGGCGATCACCACGTACTAACTTGGCGAATCGAACATCCAAGTAAGGAACCCGAAGCAGGCTTTCAAAGATACCTACCCCGCGCAACATACCTATCCCCCGAATGGGAATCCACAATCTTGCGCGGACCCAAACAATAAAGGGCAGTGGTGCAAACCAGATGCTTGGCTTGCTGAGTTGCTCCAAATGCCTGGCCAGCCTTTGTTTTTGAGGCAAAAGGTACTTGGTACCCTTAGGGGTAAGGCTGATACAGCCCGAATGGGATGACACTTGATTAGTGACTACCTGGTCGATTGATAGGGTGTGAACACACACACACACACATGCTCATTTTTACTTGTACACCAATCGTTTCATCCAACCTTTTTGTTGCTCCTTCCGCTTTTCACCTTTTTTGTTCGTTTTACCGCAGTTCCGCGTTTCACCACATGTCCTCCCGCATTTCCGCATTTCCTTCCGCGTTTCGCCTCCTCCCCAACCCCCCCCGCCAACCCCCCCCCCCCCCCGGCGCAGACTCCAACGCCGAGGCTGCGGTGGAGCAAGGCGCAGGCCGCCGCGGCGCAGCTGGAGGCGGAGATCTGGAAGTTCCGGACGCGGGTGGCGGCCGCTCGGACGCGGAGAACCTTCCATTTGCTGAACTAGGTCTCCCCTACTAAAATAGACTACAGGAAAAAGTTGGCACCCTAACCTCTAACCTCTCTACTGGAGGACCTAGTCAAGAATTTGATTTTCCCTTGTTGGTTTTAGAGGGAATCTATCACTACTGGACTTTTTTTTTCCCGGGGGGGCTAAAGCAAATGGAAGGAACGCGGAGCCATACCCCGCGGGGGACGCGGCGGGGAACGCGGGGAACAGCCAAGAGATCTTTGCTGCCGGTTCAGAGGTGGGGAATCTGTGGATGCATTTTTGTGTCGGACATATTAAAGAATGGTTTAGCAACAAACCAAAAAAAGGGGGCAAGAGGGGCAAGAAGTGGTGAAATCCAAGTGAAAAGCGCTTCCAAGCCGTTTTCTAGGAGAGACTCACTTCCTGCTCGGACTAAAGGGCACTGTTTGTTGCCATTTCAGTGGTAAACTGTAAAGTTTGGGACTGTTTCTGGCCAAGCCTCTCAAGTGAGGAGTGTGTTCTGGGTCAAGGAGCCCTGGTTTCAGGGAACCAAAGCGATCCATGAGCCATTTGGAGCCAGATTTTGTTTTTGAGCTGAACCTCGCTTTGTCTACGTTACAGTGAGAGTCGTCCAGGTCAAGCAGAACCCACCCCCCCTTCCCAACTTGTTTTGATTTTGTTCAACCAAGGAGACATGGAGTCCGTTGGCCTGGTTTGGATTGGTTTGGATGTGGTTTGAAGATTTGGTTTCCCACCGGACCTCCAAGGCAAACCATTCAGTGGGAAGCTGATGGTTGATGGGGAAACATGGCTGTGGCTCAAAAACATGGGCCAAAATTGCACCTTGGCAAATAAAACCAAAGACTAAAACCTGCGTAACCCTAGCTCTTTAATTCTGAGCCACACCCTATGGGGAAGACTAGACAAACGACATTGGGAGACCTCCGGCCCACACCCCTTTTCCTGGCAGAGCCTCCGGGCCGAGCAGGACCCCTGATTCCCACGGGGACAGTATATGGCTGTGGGGCAAAACCATTTTGGTACCATTTCGTGGCAGGTGCACCACCCATTTTAGAACCTATTTTAGTGGGGACGGGATTTTGACCCATGGCCATATGGCCTTTTTTTGGGTCATGCGCCTTTGACCAAAGATCGTGGCCATACGCGTTGTTCTGTCGTTCAACAGTATGTTTAAAAAAAAAGAAGACGGAAACTTACAACAACATACAGTTTTCATGTGGGTCCATATACGCAACTGACCGGACAAGAATGGTCATGCGAGCAACAAAAGCGGCCATACGGGGTGCAAATATCTGACTAGCTGTGTACAGCAGATGTGCGCTGGGAAAGCTGAAGGCTGTCAAGCTGTTGGCAATCATGCCGCGAGCTTTCGGGGTTCACGGTCCTACCGGAGGCGTAGGATTTGCATTGCATGGGAAGCTTGGGTGCGGGCGTGACGGAGAGTTGGGACACCCTCTCCAAATGAAAGGATGTAAGGGAGAGAACTGCCATGCAATTGTCTACGAATATGTTCAGTTTTCTTTCCTGGTTTTAAAGAGAATCAACAACTACTGGAAATATCTATATTTGGTCTGCCCTGGTTATTCAGTGGCAAATATGCGTGTCTTTTTTGAGTTGGTACCCCCTTGTCACTGGCGTTCAAGGAAAAGCAAAGTTGGTACCCCTTTTTAGTGGCTTGCAAGGAAGCCAAAGGGAAACCCAACCTTGCGTTATGCTTCTTTTTTTTGGGGGGTCCCCTAAAAAAGACATGCTCAAATTGCACCATGTCAAGCATTCAGTGGCCAGCAAAAGTTGGACGCTTGAGCGCTAGGTTCTTGCCAACAAACCAACGTCTCCGAATCGGATTTACTCTTGCTGCCTTACTTGGTTCATGATTTTCCCCAGCTGGTTTTAAATGGAGTCGATTTTATTACTAGTTTGGTTCATCATTTCCCGAAACTTGGTGTTTGTTGAGTTTGCCTGACAAGGCCGCCCGCACAAAGGGTCGCCTCAAACAGACAGATGGCGCGGCACAGGAAAGTGTGCTGCAACCGGGGGGTGTTCCCCAAGGCTCCCTATGGAACCCTAGGCAACCCGGAGCAACCCTACTGTGGATGGACGAAATCCGCCACCTAAGAAACCCCGGAATGAGTCGGTTCCCATGAAATTCACTTGTTTCAGTCCCCTGCGAAAACACACACAAAATGCAGTGTATGGACGAAATTCATTTTGCACCACCTAAGGAACCCTGGATTCATTTGATTCCCCGGTAAATACCAACAAACAATGGTTTCAACCATGGTTTCAAAGTGGTGCAGTATTTCGTCCATGCACAGTAGGGCTCTCAACCCCCCGTAACGTAATTGCCCATGGGCCTCAAGCCGAGGATTATGTGGTTGTGGGCGCGAGCGCCTTGGAGTTCTCAACGGGGAGCACGTGATCCAAGTGGGCGGAGCTGAATCGCCTACCTGGAGTCTCCATGACCCTTTAAAAATGGGGTCATGACCCCATTATTTGGGGTAATGACCAACCATTTTGAAGGGGTCCTTAGGGAGACTCTAGGTAGATGTTCTGGGCGCGTGCTACAGCCCATGGTCAAACAAACTGTCCCAAAAGGGAAGCCACTGAATTCTTTTTGCCAGAGCCTCTACTTGTGATCAAGGATGCATAGGAGTGCTTTTGCGACGTCGCTGTTCCATTCAGCCAATTTGAGACAGCGTTGACAAAGCTATTGCCTATGTTGAATATTGCCGCCCTGTAAGGAGAACACGGAAGGAGAAACCCGGCAATTTTGACCACCCCCTCCGATTTTGAAACGAAACATGTCCATTGAGCAAACTGTCCCTTTCTGTTTGCCAGATGTTCTTCACTTGGATACACCCGGATGGTGCCATCATTTTTCGCGCCCATCTTTTGGGTGCTTTCCGTTGGCTTCTCTTTCAACACCAACCCCAACCAGGGAATTTCGAAAAAAGACACACCCATGCGGAAGGGCAGAATCCATTTGGCACTTGGAGTTCGGCGGTCTATCAACCTATTCGAACGGTTTCATCCACCCAAAGGACAACCATTTTTCTCCCTACGGCCACTGGAGGTCTGAGAAATGTCCTTCGGGGATAAACAACTGTGGACGAAACCCTGCACCACCTAAGAAATCCTGGAAGAATTTGATTCCCCGGTAAATACCAACAAGCAATGGTTTCAACCATGGTTTCAAAGTGGTGCAGGGTTTTGTCCATCCACAGTATGGCAGCGGATCCGGGCCGTTTGAAAGGGTGTCCAATGGTTTCACACTGAAATGCTGCAAGTGTCAGGGGTGAATCCTATGAAGCTGCTGTGCGAGAAATTGACTTCATTGCTATTTGCGCTGCTTACTGGAGTGTGTAACCCTTTGTGCCACCACTAGAAAGGCTTGCTCCATTCACCTGAAGGGTTTCCCTTCACTAGGGGGCCAACTTTCTATTCTATGCTGGAACCATTCTAATCTAACATAATATGTTGTTCGGAGCCGTTCGATTGGTGTGTTCTGTTCTCTTTCTACTTGATTTGCTAGGGCCTTTAGACAAACCCTGCGAAATGTTGTGTTGCAGCTCCGCGTCTGTCAGCGGGAAGTGTGCAAGCCGATCACTCAAGACCTCGACTTTTTGCAGGATTTGGATTTGCTTTGGGGGGGGGAGGGTGGAGGTTGCGGGGGGGGGGGTGGGGGGGGGGTGGGGGGGGGGGGGTGGGTGGGTGGGGGGGGGGAGGGTGGAGGTTGCGGGGAAGGGTTGGGGTTGGGGGGGGAGGGGGGGGGTGGGGGTGGGGGGTGGGAGGGGGGCGGGTGGGGGGGAGGGAGAGTGGAGGTTGCGGGGGGGGGGTGGAGGGTGGGGCGGGCGGTCTGCGAGTCCGGGGGCGGGGGGTTGACAAATTTCATGAGGTTGCTGCCGCTTTTCGCTCCTCATGGGCTTGGGGCCTGAACCTAGTAGAGTCGGATACGGTTAGTTAGTTGAAAGCCAAAACACTGCAAAACAATAAGGAGTAAACAAACACGATAACACCAAACAGGCTTGAACAGCTTATCGCCCCCATTTTTATACAACCCCACCTTATCTATTAATATATTATATAAATAAATCACTGTCGCATTCATGCCGGGATGTCCACGAGACGTCCACGAGAGAGCGATGCGCTGGGAATCATGCTGGAAGAATGCGCAAAGGCGCAGGGTTCCGCACCCCTGAGGTTCCTACGGTGCGAAGGAAAAGAGGCCGCCCAGGTAGAGCCCGCAGACATCTTGTGTCCAAGGCTGCTGCGGGGAAGCATAAGCACTTGGCTCCAAGCGTGACAAGCGCCATCATGGCGGAGTGGCTTTTTTGCCTATGGCTGTACGACCAGGTCGTGCACAGGGGAGCAAGTCATTAGTTAATTAGTTTTGAAAAAAATCTCACTATTGGCTTGGCCTAACGTTTGTTTCGCCAGGACAATCAAACTTATGGCCGCCTACGGAACCTTTGTTTCTTTGGACTAAACAAATGTTTCTTCCCCCATGCTTATACTCTTCTGTCGCATGTGCGGAAACGTTAGTTTCGAATACGGACAACAAATGTGTGATGTGTTTTTGTGTTTTCTTGATGTTGGTGGCAGCATTTCTGATTGTACTTTTCGCCGAGTTGCATCGATCTAGGAGGCTGATGGAAAACATGGGGCCGCGAAAGGACCGCGAAAGTCCGGCGAAAGGGCCGTTTCCAGGAACTTGTATTTTGAGCAACCCCCATATACCAAAAAACGATAACCTTTACCCGGTGTCCATTGGCTACACCAGAGGTTTCGCAATTTTCTCATATAATTTAATATGTTTTAAACAATGCACAAGATGTGTTGCCAGGCTCAATACGAACTTGAGCTTCTGAAATATATATTTCTTGCGGCCGCATGATCGAGTTGGTGGACAAGCACGGAAGCCGTGTTGTCAAGCACGGCGACACCGCCGAGCTGTGCATCAGCAGGCAGAATCACAAGACGGGCTCCAGAAAAAAGCAAGATTTGAGCAGGGCAGACATGACAATCCACCTGATACCATAGACGTGTACCTGTTCGATGGGGAGCGGCAGGCGTGGACAGATACGATTGAGAGTACAGTGAATATTCCGCCCAGCTATCATGGAGTGTACAGCTGTCCCTGTTCGGCAGTGCAAGGGTACAGGCGCAGCAAGAAGCTCCAGCGCATCCTGAGAGTCCAAGCTGCCCGCTAAGTTTGTGATACCCAAAGCGCACACATACCGAGTCAGCAGGATCAACAACGCGGAAGACAACGATGAAACTATTGGTGACGTTTCCATGGACGCAGGGCACAGCAGCACAGCAATGACCAGGAGCTACCGCGATCGCGATAGACCCATAACGAGGATATTCCCTGGTCTAAAGGAACTTTGGCATTGCTGGCGCGACGAATAGAGGCATTTCGGCTCTCACCTGGTTCAAAAGGGAGAGAGGCAAAGCCGGTGAAAAAGCGATGCTCTCGATGCCATACTTCGCGCTGGATGAGCAAGTGCGCCATAGGCATCTGCGCCATATGTGTTTCCAGAATGAGGAAGAACGTTTTCCAGTACGTGCTGCAGGACAAGGTGCTCCCGAAGTTCCAGGCGGCCCATGACGCCTGCAGCGTGTTCCGGGTGCGGGAGTACACTTCACAGATCTTGAGCGTGCTGTGCTGGCCCAGGACCAGGCCAGAGCCTTCTCAGGACTGGGCTGGTTGCCATTTTTCTGGAAGGGGTCGCTGGATTGAAAGGAAAGGGAGGTGCTTGGCCAGTTTTTCCACCGGTCATCAAATGAAGAGGGCAGAAACGGTTCCGGGCTATATCGGACTATTTCTAAACGGCTCCGGGCTATTTCGGACCATTTCTTCGCAGATGTCCAACCTTCCTCAAGAATCTTTCGCAGGATGGGGCGCGGTCCTCCGAGGTGGTCAGCATGCTACCCGGAGGAAGCAGCGCGCTGCCCGGCGCCGTGCAGATTTGCGGGGCTAGCCCGTATGGGGTCAAGGAGTTTGCGATGCCATTTGTTTGTTCACTTCGATGGCAGCTGTGTTGACTCAATGGCTCGCCCGGCAGCGGTTCTGTGCGTGCCCTGGGGCCGAACGGCCGAACGCTGAGCGCCGGGGACCTCAGCAGCCGCAAGGCCGATGTATGTGCGAGAAGCAACTGAAGTGTAGGGGCTACAGTAGAGCAAGTTGTGGCGAGCAACATTGACTTACGGTCTTGCAAAGCGCGTCCCGGCGTGGTGGAGGTTGGGTGGGTGGGGGGGGCGGGGTGGGTGGAGGTGGGGGTTGGTGGGTGGGGAGGGGTGGGGGTGGGGGGGGGGGAGGGGGAGGGGTGGGGGTTGGTGGGTGGGGGGTTTTAACTCAACTTAAGTCACAATTATAGACTCACTTGTGCAAAGCCAACCTTTAAGCTTTTGTTGTTCCCCTTTTGTTCTTTTTATTCAAGGTTCCAAAAGGTTTACTTGTATGAAGAGCGGTACCCCCACCAGAAGAACGCTTGGCAATGTTCCTTCATGGGCACAAAGGAAGTGAGGTATTCAGGGAGGCCCGTCTTTTTTGCCAGTTGGGAATTGGTGGGAACTCGACTGAGAAGTTCTGTGCGTCAGGTGTTTCTGAATCTACCTTTTTGTGGACATCCAAGACTGTCAATACAAGATGCCTTTATTCCGTTGCATCATTCCCCACCCCACCCGTAGGACTTGAACAAAGGCTCCCACAGTAGTTCCATGAGAACCCACGTCAACTGCAGCTTTCAGAAGTGAACGTAGAGAAAGGGTCCGTCTGTTTTAAGGGCCCCAAATGGATTTCGATTTTCATGTTGGTGTCCCCTTTAACTTTAAAACTTCACATGGCAACCATTGGCCATGCCATGTTTGGTTTGTCTGGCTAGGTTCGCTTCCAGGACCCGGGACGGATCCGGCTGTTCACTTGTACTAAGATGGTGCAACCGAAGATACCCCGAACTGAATCTACCGAGACCCAAGGGAAAGGTGGGGTATACAACCACTATCACTACTATGTAAAGGGTATACGCCTTGATTTCCCGTGGGCGGTAGTGGTTCTGGGGTAGAAGAAACCATCTCAGATTGACAGGCCGTTCGCTGGCCATAGTGGGGGTCCTGGTTGTCATGCTCGCGATGGTCCCTACTTGGTTGCTCAAAGCACAGCCCACTATTCTGGACAACATGCTGCCCGAGCTGGGGATAGAACGAGCCTGCCAACATCCCCTTGGGGATTTGTTGCTTCCATTGTGTGAGTCATTAATTGCCCAGTCCATTCCCTAGGTTTCAACCCCGTCAACCCCCATTAAAAGAACGGCGAGGACCCAATTTGGATGATGACAATGCTGAACGGTAAACGTGGTGGTGATATGAGCCCAACGGTGGCCTGCCTGAATCCCAGTCTATGTACCTGGCGTCTCCACCTCAAAGTTGGGGTCGATGCCATCCTCGATGGGGTCGATTGGAACTTGGTGCTTCCCAGCCATCCGCTTCCTTAGCTTTTTAGACTTGTTTCGTTGGCTTAGCGGTTGGGAATGAAGCTATGAAGCTAAGCTATGGACCTTTTTGTCCGGATCCTTAGCTTTTTAGATCTGGTTATTTGGCTTAGTGGTTGGCTAAGTTGGGTATTTCACCCACTAGTGTTGTGTTGTTTTTTTTTGTTTTTTGTTTTCTCGTTTTTTGTTTTTGGCACGGGATCAGACAGCCCGGACAGGTTAGATGGAGTTCCAGTCATGTTTGCTTTGGGTCGGACGGCAGCTGAGGTAACTTCGGCGCCCCGGCGTGACGATCATCGCACCGGGGATTCGGCGATCTTTTGGGGTGCAGGTGGCATCTTTCTACCTGGAGTCTCCATGACCCCTAGAAAAAGGGGTCTTAACCCCTGAATTTGGGGCAGTGACCCCGTTTTTCAAGGGTCACGGAGACTCCAGGTAGGGTTCCAGTTGGTGAAATGAATCTGTTTCAGTTCCCCCTGTTGGTCTCAAAGGAAATCGATTTCACTATGCTGGAAATATGTGTTTGTTTTCCAACTTCAGCAAATAGAGGCTAGGGTTCCTTGCCGACCATCAAAAGAATGGCCCCAAAAAAGGCCCGATTTGGAGGCTGAAACTCCTTAGGTTGAAGTTATGGTAGTTAGTATATTAACCTTGGGTTTTTCTCTAGGACCCCTTTTCGCCCCCATTCCAGGATAAGGCAAACACATGACACAGAATCATCACGCCCCCCCCAAAAAAGGTTGCTTCCCAAGTGGAACCCAAGGATGGGCACTCCCATGGCCAATGCTGACAAGCTGCTTCAGGGGTTCCCCATTGACTCTTTTGGATCCTCCAAAAGTTGCAAATTCAACGGACACCACAAGTAAATCGCTACTTTTGAAGGGGAGTTTCAGTGACCCCCTCATTTCGGACCTTCTTGGGACATAAGAAACCATGGGGCTGCTTGCCCTGTGTTGTTTTCATGGGTCCAAAGCGGTCACCAATATAGGCTGGCGGTTTTGAGCCTCTTTTGGGACACTTGCAAGGTGAGCTTCCTTCGGTAGGCGTGATGTTTGAGGATCCTTGGATTAATTTCAATTGGGGGTCCTTTGGTGGCTACATGAGTCAAAATCGAGAACTGATATTAAACTGGTGTACCCATACCAATGGACAGAATTCAACAGGCGGCCGCACCCATTTATGGCTGGGACTGTCCCTTAATAAGCTTCAATTACCCACCTTTCTTTTGGCTGAACCCCCCCCCCCCCCCGCCCCCATTTTTCAGTGACTCCGCTAAGGTGCTCAGCCAAGTTAGTAAGCTGTAAGGGTAAGAATTAAGTCCCCCGTTCAGTGGGGTTAAACCTTGTTGTAAGGAGGTTATAATTACCCCAAATGGCAATCCCCACTTGCTGACTTGCCCAACGTCCAAGTACGGAGCCCGAAACGGACTCTCAACTACCCACCCACCCAGTAACGTACCAACCCCCCCCCACACCCTTCGGAGCACGGGGATTTCGCATTTAATTTGAGGCCAGGACGAAGACTCTGGCCCCTCGCAACAAAATCCCCAGATCTTCACGCGCGAGCGGAAGCAGGCGCGGCCTCCGCCGAAATAGGCCCCCCGAACGGCTGAAGTGGGCGTGGTGTTTTTTGTTGCTTTGTTGCTTTTCTGGGACCCCACAAAAGTGTGGTGTTCCTTTTGGTTTCCCCCTTAAAACAAACCAACAAGGGGGTTCCCTACAACAGAGGCGCCCACATATTTTCCGGTTTTCGGGGTGAACAGCTGAAAAAACTTGGGGTCGATAGGCCCAAAATGTGCTCTGGGCTGATTCGGAGGGTTGAAGAAGAGTGCGGGGTGTTCCAGGGCTGTTGGGAATACCAGCTGGGCCTTCTCTTCACCTCACTTGCCCAAAGCGAATCGACTTCTTGACCTTCTGGATTCCCGGTTTTGGCAGCCATTTCTATTCAGGGGTCCCTATACATATATATATATATATACACATATATATATATAGTGGTTTTTTCTCCCCCTTTTGGTGGTTTGATTCCCATCACCTTTTTTGGCCCATGAGTGTGCCTGGTGAACAGTTTTCAGGGGAACTATAGGGAGCCCTGTTGGCTCTCAAAGGTGATCTCACCTGGGTCCTTTTGGACAACTGGGCCCCCGGAAAACTGGCCATCCCAGACATGTTTTTCTTTTCAGGCTTGAAGAGAGTACCTGTGCGCGGATTTTAACCGTCGGAAGACATACACCTAAAACCTTGGTTGGTTGGTTTGTTGTGAAATGGCTGGGTTTGTGGTTGGTTTATGGCAACTACCCTCGATTGTATGTCAGGGGTTGACATACCCTGAAGATTCTGAATTTGAAGTGCACTTTCCCATTGGGGAAGTTACCCTGACAGCCCTGGGGACCCCCTTCGGCTGTTCCTTTCCTTCGGGTGGTTCCAACAAGTGTGCAATAACCCTAGGGGCCCCCACCCGCTTCGGGCGTAAACAAAAAGCGAAGGACAGAGATTGAACAGGATGTTGTGTTGTGACAGGCCGGGGTGGTTATCCTAGCATTTGGAAATCCGCATCCGTTTGGCAGCAGTTGGCTGTTCCGTCAAAGATACAAAAAAGGTTGTAATTATGGGAAAATGTCACTACTTTCAAGCCTCCAGCTGAGTCTGCTGACATTGATCTCTCCCTGTTCTCTCCCTCCTTCTTTTTCCCTCCCTCCCTCCTGTCCTTCCCCCCTCTCCCTCCTCTCCCTTCCTCCTGTCCTTCCCTCCTCTCTCCCTCCCTCCTGTCCTTCCCTCCTCTCTCCCTCCCTCCTCTCCCTCCTTCCCAATACCGATCTTCTTCCAACAAAAACAATGGGGAAGCAGCCCCTGGGCGGCAGAAAAGCTAGTGACGTGATCGCCCACTATTTGGGAGGTACCTGAGAGTTTTATGGTTGTGGATTCAGTGAATACCCATTTTCCGTTTCCGTTGGACACGGGTGATCTTGTTTCATGAGCTGCTGCTTGGGTTTGGGGGGAAGTTTGTGAATTCGTGACTCCAGCGACTCCCATCATTGGTTGTTGGTTTGGTGCTTTGGATGTTAGGGAGTTACAAGGAAGTGGGGATCCAACCCCCCCAAACCCAGACTGAACCACAAAATCCAAACAACCTAAAGAAGAAGGTTCCATCTCGGAAACGGTTGCATGTGGCTTTTGCGGACTCACCCCCGTAGTTCCCAATCAAGCCACCAATCCAAACCTCCAATTCAGCGGTACATGAAGCCCCTGCAGGACGAAACTCGGGCTCTCTTCCGCTCGAATGCCGTTGCCTCAGCGTGATGATACGGCGCTTAGTCAGATGCCGCGAAAATGGTTGCGCGCCTTCTTTTCAGAGCGCCCGGTCATGGGGTTTCTTTCAAAAAATATATAAAGGGAAACACATTTAAGAATTAAAACAAAATCGGATGGACGGATCGGGTCGCAGTTGGTCCCCTGAACCTACTTCCGGCAGGCCAGATCCCATGGCTTCGCGGGGCCATGTACCCCTGCCTAGGCCTGTAATGTGAATGTGTGTGTGTGTGCATGGGTATATGTGTGTGTGTGTGTGTGTGTGTGTGTGTGTGTGTGTGTGTGTGTGTGTGTGTGTGTGTGTGTGTGTGTGTGTGTGTGTGTGTGTGTGTGTGTGTGTGTGTGTGTGTGTGTGTGTGTGTGTGTGTGTGTGTGTGTGTGTGTGTGTTTTTGAGGGTACCCTTTTCACCATTTCAAGGGAAACCCAAAGGAGAACCATCATTTTTGGGGTTCCCTTTTTGACACTGACTTTTATAAAACACAAGGTCGGGCAGTGATTGAGGTAACCAAGACAACCACCCTTCAAAGACCAAAAGGAACATGGCTAGATTCCCAACTCCATTCTCTTGACCCATGGTTCTCTTGAGAAATCACATCCATCTTCCCGGGGTTTCTGACGCATTTTGTGGAAGGCCTGAAAATGAGAGCCATCTGATTGGGGGAACCCCCAGGCTCAAGACACTGGGCTCAAGACAACTGGTACCGCTTTACCCTCTCCAAATAATATACCCGCTTGTTTTTTTTTGTCAGGACGTGCTTTGCGCCCCTAGCCCGCCCGCAAAAAGCTGATTGTTGTTTTAAGAAGAACAACCACACAAAACACGTTTTGCAGAGGAGTCGGTACCGCCACCAAGTTGTTTTGGTCCACGTGTCACGAGTTGATGAATCTGTCCATTCGTCCATTCGATTTGCAGGTGAACAGGGGACACCCAAACTGAGTTCGTCTCTTTTTAGGGGACCCGCAAAGTAGTGGTTTGTTCTTCGCTTTCCCTTTATAAAGTGGTGCCCTCAACCAAGAGATTCTGGGTTTGTGCCTGGGCGGTCCCCTACCTCCAGAGACCTCCAGGCAGGGAGGCCCCCCATTTTTTGGTTGAAACACCTGGTTTTCCCCGAATTGAACCCACAAAAAGTGAAGTCAAGCTTTCTTCAGTGGGTGCTTCCCCTTTGATACCTCCGATGGGTAAGAGGTGAACATCAAATTGGGTGAATCATGGGGTTTTCCGAATTGAAACCACAAAAAGTGAAGTTTTCTTCTTGCAGAAGGATCGTTACCGCTACGTTGAAAGAGGTGAACAACATCTTCAACTCCGCGATGGAGGAGATGGGGACCAGTTCGCTGCACAACGGGGGCTCCGACAAACTGCCGAAGCGCGAGAAAGCCCCCAGGCGTCCAGTTGGGATCGTAGGATCGATGGGATCCATGGCCTTGATCTTCTCCTGGACCCTGAAAATTAAAAAGCAGGCCTTTGGCTGATTTTCTTTTTTCAACCAAGAGCAAATCAAGAAGGACCCGGTTTTTGTGGGCAGCTGGAAAACCAGGGATGGCATTGGAATCGATTTGGCTGGAGCGAGCGTTGTTTTACGGTTGCAATTTTCACATGAGGACCAGACACAAACTAGCGGGTGGTTGGACGGGAGCCAAGCAGCTCGAAGTATCCAAATTTGCATGTAAAGAGGGAGCCTTTGGGAGCTATCAGGAGTCCTGGTAGTAAAGATGTGCACTTTTGGTTGGGGGCAAAGTGTCATTGGTTCATGAACCCCAGTTGATAAATGGGGGGGTGTTCCCCTCCAAAAGTGATGATTCCCCACTAAACCCGGGACACCCCTCAAATGAATAAACAAGGGTTGATTCTTCTGGGGTCAGCACTACACATTTTATCAAGCATCCATACCTCGAGAACCACTCTTCCTGAAAAAACAAAAGTTGTACCTAGAGTCTCCATGACCCCTTGAAAATGGGGTCATTGCCCAAAATCATGTGGTCATGACCAACCATTTTTAAAGGGTCCTTGCGAAGACTCCAGGTACTCGTGTCGGGCACCTGGCCCATCCAGAGTCTTCCCAGATCTGGGAAGTCCCTGGCGAATGCCCTCAACAAGGGAAACCCTGTGAAGTCCCTTGATATGTTTGGTGGTTTTCGTGCAACATTTGGCGCATCCACCATGCACTCTGCGTTGCTTCAAAGGAAGCCAAAGGGAAACACCATCATGTTGGGCTTCAGTTGAAATTGGGAGCCAAACCCATCGGGGCACCCTCGAAAACAGAAAGGGAGAAGGGTGCCGCCCTATCATACACCATTTCTTCGAGGAATCTCCCCAAAGGCAAGCGGCTCCAAAGGGTACCTGGAGTCTCGGTCCATGACCCCATTATTTTGGGTAATCCTGGAGTCTCCATGACCCCTAGAAAAAGGGGTCATAACCCATTTTTTGTTGTTGGGCAGTGACCCCTTTTGCTAGGGGTCATGGAGACTCCAGGTACCCCTTAAACACATGCACGCATTTTTGTGCCAGGCGCTGCTGCCGCCGCAAGACCAAACACGAGAGCGAACAAACCGCCAACTCCAGCTCAGCGCCTCGATGGCAGAGGGGGGGGGTATCCAAATTTGCCTTCCCAGAGGCTCCGATCGGCTTCGGCTTTCAATGCAAGACCCGAGCCCGCCATTAGACACCCCGGGAATTGGTTGGGACCCGGTCTCAAAGCCAGGTTGTTTGAAGGCCGTAAAACCATCGAATTGGAGCCTCTGGGTTGACAAGAGGGAGCCTTTAACAGCTGCCGGAGTCCTGATCAGGGACATGGCAGCCGACAACGTCCTGACAACGCGACAACCGAGACATGGGTGGTTCTCGCTTCGTTGCGGGGCCAACCAGGTGCTTTCTGAAGTTGGTTTCCCGTCCAAAGAGGGGTGCCCCTTATGAAAGAGTAAGCTCAGAGGAGCGAACGCATTATAGTTGGGCAAAAGAAGTTGGCACCGTGCTCCAATTTTGGGGTAGTCAACCCGGTTACTCCCTCATGTTGACCTCGCAGTAATAAACTTCCTGGTTGATTTTGATCGGGGAGGTGTCTCAGTTTTGGTGTTTCAGACCACTGTTGGAGGAGAACCGACTCTACTTAGAGCCGGGATCGACATGAAGTGCTGCGTGCCACGGACACTGCACTTTGCAGAACCTAAGAAACAACTTTACTAAAAACAACATCTGTGGTTTCAAGAAACAACCGGATGTGTCCATTTTCTGTCCATCATACTGCTGATGGGCGAAAACCATTTCGCACCACCTAAAAAACCTTGGCTTCTGATTCGATTGCCCTATAAATACCAACGAACGGTATGGTTTCCTATGGTTTCATTTCGTGGTGCGAACTGGTTTTCGTCCATCTACAGAAACACCTGTGCTGGGGTCATTTGGAGGGAACCACTGTCAGGGGCCAGTTGGAGGAAGGAGGAAGGGCACACTTCCTGCCATAAGCACAACACACATCTACAGTACCGGCGGATACCGGTCCATCCACAGTATGGGGTCACCATGGATGGTTATATTAACTCCAACCCCCTGATGTGTGTTGATTAATATGGGGACGGCCAGTCTGTTTGTTTGGGGGGTGGGGGGGGGGGCGGTGGTGAGCTCAGGCCGCGCCTCCTCAGTCTGACTTGACGGAGTACGGCCACCTTGGCACCTCGGAGCGAGTTCAGTTCATGGACCTTCGGCTGGGAATCGTCAATTTGCTTAAGAATATGTTTCCCCTTGTTGGGTTTAAAATGGAATTGATCACCAGTTTTTTTCTTTTTTCTCTCCCCCTTGTTGGTTGGTTTTAAAACGGAGTTTATCACCTACTGTTTTTTTTTCATCCTCCTTGTTGGTTTTAAAAGCGAATTTGTCATTTACTGTTTTTGTTGTTGTCCCCTTGTTGGTTTAAAAGGGAATTTATCACTATACTGGATGTTAAAAAAAGGTCTTAACCAAATGGAAGTAACGGAAGCTGGCCAAGCGATTTTCTTGTCGTTCAGTAGGGAAGGAGGGAATTTATCTGGGTATTCCCTGAAAGAAAACCACCAGTTGGATGGTTTATAGGGGGCATTCCGTTCCTCATTCCCTGCTGAGAGCCAGAGTTCCACCCAACAAACAGACTGGCTGTCCCCATAATTATGAATCAGCACACCCTGTTTATTAAATTCGGGGGGTGCTTTAATCAGACCACTTTTGGAGGGGAACCCCCCCTATTAATAAACAGGGGTTGGTTAATGTGGGGTCGACAAGTATAAAACGAAAACCGTTCGGTCATAACTTGATAACCCACTTATCGTCCTCCGTTCAGTGGGGTTCTCCTTGTTATTTGTAAACCACTTGCTAACTTGGCCGAACATCGAAGTAGTCACACTTTATGCATTTCGGGTTACCAGTTTAGTGGTACCTGCACAACGCAGGAATTTGTTTGCATTGATTTTGTGTGGGAGGGGGGGAAACAGCTTATAGCTTGATAGCGTTTAGCAAACATATGTCCCATCCAACTTTTGCATAAATGGTGAAATTTGACGCAGCATGATAGCGCAAATGGAGCACTAAGAGAGATGTTGCTGTGGCGTTCGTTTGATTTGGGCAATGGAAGAGTGATAGCCGACATGTCACATTCGGCAATTTGCTTCATCGCTACTAGTCAGCAGGCTTTGCTGTCTTGAGTCACCTGCAAAAAGAAATACATCCTGGCCCAACCCATTCCTTCGATAAGCCCCGCCAGGCGTTTGGAGCATTCGCAGCCGACTGTCTTCTTTCAGGCTGTTGAAGTTCAACTCGCAAACACATGCAAACAAGCCCCACTTGTTTGACTCAATCCAAGCCAGCCCCAAACCCGCCCCCAGCTTCCTAAACCCACCTTAAACCACTCTAAAATGGACCGTGACCCAAAATCTCACAAACGTCGGAGAAAATCCCGAAAAAACAAGGTCGGCCTTTGTTTCACCTGAGGCATCGACGAGTACTACAAGCAGAGGACAATGGAAGTGCTTCACAGGATGAAGAAGCAGGCACTTTGGCTCCAATCGGATTTCCACCCTCCGGTAGGCTTCTGGGAATCGTGGTACAGGGTCTGAGGAAACCCGAACCCCGCAAAAGGCTATGGCCATGATTTTTCAAAATTGGAAACCCCTGAAAAGTGGTTGGTGAACATCAATCCACCCCTAAATTATTCATCATGTCCACACCCATGCACATCTGTTTCAAGCCTGCAACAGACAGCCATCCCAGCCACAAGTCAAGGGCATTTTTGGATATGATAATCTGGACGGATGCGTATACCGCCAGTATAAGCTTATCAGGCAGAAAGAAAAACCTGATACAAGTTCTGTATAGCCTTCATACCACCAAAGTCCATACGTGAACATGTCCTTAACACAAGGGTAAACACTTTGCTTGGTCTCCTTTGGTTCTTTTAGTACCCTCATCGGGGTGAAAGGGATCAACCCTACGATTAGTATCCCATCCCACCAAGTGGCTTGGGGCCACTTAAATCGATGCATCCGAGGAGAACACTTTGGAGAACACCCATCAATGTGCTCAATCACGATAACATACTGGTTGATGAACTGCCGAAATCACATTAATGCAACATGTCTTCATCCACAGCAATGCATATGTTTTTTTTTTTGAAACGACCAAGTTCAGGGGTTCCCTAAAAACGGCAACCCCCAATCTGGTTGCTTCTGCCTGGTAACTGGAAGCGCGTGTGGGTACCAAGAACTAACCCGCGGGGGACTCGCGGTGGGACCATATATAGGCGTGTCTTAAAATAGGGGACCCCAAAATTGATGGGTTTCCTTTGCTGTTTCCCTTTACAGCAACCACAAAAACAGGGTTCCCTGAACAGAAAAGAAGACCGCCCCACGGGTGTTGTGTCCCATGATTTTTGCCAAGGTGCACAATCCGGGCCATGTGAGCTTCTCATACGGACCCTGGGAAAAAAAGGGGAAAACCTAACCCCCCGCTCAGCGTTGTTAAGGCGTTTCTTTGAAAGCCTGGTTTTCCAGGGTAAATGCTGATCCCTTTTTTAACATTAAAGGGCGCGTGTTTGAAAGCCTGGTTTGTTCATAGTTAACTTTGATCCTGTGAGTCCAAGGTTGACATCATATCCTAATGTTGACCCAGGATCAATAAACCCGTCCCATGGTTAGGGGGTGTTCCCTCCAAAAGTGGTCTGAATCCAACCACTAAAAGGGGACACCCATCTAGTAATCAACCAGGGTTTATTGATCCGGGGTTTGGCCTAGGGTTCTCGGAAGTCCCGGCATTCGTTGCCTTTCCGGACTCAGAGCTTTGGGTCGGAGCACATCTTGGAGGGTTTCTTAGGTGGTACGAAATGGATTTCGTCCCATCCACTGTAGGATATGTTTGACTCAACACAGAGCTAGCATGCTAGGCAACTGGTTTTCTCCAAATATACCCTGAAGGGATGGTGGTTGGAGCCGGGGGTGCCCTTCAGTTCTTGCATGTTCGGCCAAGTTAGTGGGTAACCCAGGTCGCACTCCATGAATAAGTCTCCCGTTCAGCGGTTTTTAAGCCTGTAACCTGGAGTCTCCATGACCCTTTTAAAATGGGTCCATGACCCCATTATTTTAAGTGATGACCCCATTCTTACAGGGTCATGGAGACTCCAGGAAGGGGGTGAAGACCCCGCAACTGGCGATCAGCACTTTGCCCAAAATCGGAGCTCTAACGCAGACGAGTTTCGAGGCGCGGCTGCTCACCTTCCAGCAGGGCATGCTCGAAAGCCCCGCGCCGGGGATTTTTTCGGCGTGGTTTGGACGTGTTGGCCTTTGTTTGCTCGGGTGTTTGGTGCCGGGAGGCCCCTATAGACCTGGGTGGCTAGTTGCAATTGGCACCCATTTTTGTGTGGTTTTAAAGGACACCAACCGGAAAACTACCATTTTGGGGGTTACCCTAAGCACACCTTTGCGAATGAAATGGAGTTTCCGTGAAATCTACAAACGGTGATCGATCTTTTGCATCGGCAGGTTTGGAGCAATTCGGTTGGACATCGGAATTCGGGGATTGATGTCCAACCCACTTTTGATCCCCGGTAAAGTTCACTGCAGTTTCGATTGGATGCTTTACTTTAGGAATTGGGAAGTTACCCTATGGCTCAATCCCCATACCCCAGCCTTGATGAAACTTCTTGTGTACTCAATGGTGGTTATGCTAGCCCAACCTTTGATTCAATGGTGGTAACTGCGCCCCAAAATTCAGGGGTTATGACCCCTTTTTGGGGGGGGTCATGGAGACTCCAGGTTCGGTTTTTGTCCAGGTTTCGCTTTTCCGTTTCTACCACAAACAAACAACAAAAAGGGTGGCACCTCCCAAAAGATTATCCACCCATTGGTTCAAATGTCTCGGGGCTGTGAGCAAATGCTCGCGGCCCCAAAGCGAAGGACATCAACTCAGCGGAGTGGATCCATTTACCTGGTTTTGCAGGTAACCAAGAACCCCCCCAAAAAAAAAACACACACACACACAAAAAGAAAGAAAGAAGAAGCAACAACATGAGGACCTGGAGTCTCCATGACCCTTGAGAAATGGTTGGTCATTGCCCAAAACTAAGGGGTGACGACCCCCTTTTCTAGGGTCATAAAGACTCTAGGGAGTTACCTAGATACTGGTAACTGGGATCAGTCCCTGGGCAATGACCCCTTTTTCGAGGGGTCATGGAGACTCCAGGAAAATTGAGTTGGAACCCTTTCCTTTGCGGTTTGAAAGGAAACCCAAAAGGAGCACCGACTCGCGCCGTTTTTGTTGGGGGGGTCCGATCCCCAAAAAGAGGCACACCCATGTCCGCAAACTGAGGTATTGATCAACAAACGTCGAAAACAATTGTGGGTATTCCGGACGGGGTATTCCGGACGTAGCCCCACTCAAATTTTGGAGAGTCCATGGTAGGACTCTCCAGCGGATCCTTGCGCGACCGAAATTGCATGGGATACGCCCGTTGCCATGGGACCGGACCTAGGTCCCCCAGCTAGGTGCCAAATTTTACCACCACCTTTGGTTGGAAAAATTCGGCTTCCCTACTAAAACAGACGACTCAGACAAAAACAATTCGTGGGCACCCGAACCGCTCACCTCTCAAATCCGGAGGACCTAGGGACATTTCGGGAAGATGTGGCTTTTGGCCCGTTTCCCGGGTCCTGAAGCAGCCTTTCCCCCTCAAAGAAGTGAGTACCTGGAGTCTCCTTATAGAGGACCCCTTGAAAAAGGGGTGGTCATTACCCCGAATTTTTTTCTTGGGCCATGACCTTAATCATGTTTCAAGGGTCCTTAGGGAGACTCCTCCAGGTATTTGCGCACTCCCCGAACATTTTTCGGGGGCTTCCAGCTTTTTCCGTTTTTTTTTGTCAACTTATCGCAGACGTGTTGTGCCACCTTTTCGTTTCGGGCTCCGGTGAAGTTATATGCAGCGCTTTCCCAAAACGGCCTGCGCTTGGGGCCGGCCCCGGGACCTGGACACCTGGGGCGTCGACCGATTTGCGTCGGCGAGGTTTCGTTTTGCTCTTCGGTACGTTGGGCGTGTTGCTCGCCACCTTCGACCAGACGGAGCTGGCCATGATCTGCGTGTCCCTGGCCCCTTGGAATGCAGGTGGATGCATGTCCATGCCGGCTCACCAATTCGGGGGTGAAACAAGTATGCCAGGAGCTAGGTCCTTTGCTTGGGGATCTCGTATTTCAGCATTTGGAGTTGTACTGTAAAATTGGCAGAGATCTGGTCAAGGTGTCCAAACGCTCAACCTGTTGTTTCTAGGTCCTTTGGGCAAGTAACGGAATCCTTCTTTCCCAAAAGCCACCACTCACCCATGGAAAACGCGTGGTTGTTGAGAAGAGATGGGCGAGTCTTTGTTTTGAAAGTTAAACGCTTTTGGCAGGGGATCGGGTTTGGGAACAGCCCAGGGAAGGACACATGGACCTTGTTGGTTTACCGGTGTTGGTCCGTTTTTAGTAATGGCCTCAAAAGGTGATCACCTTTCTTTCCTGGGTCCCCAGCAAGTTTTGGGTTGGTGAATAAAGACTTTGGGATATTTGTTTGAGCCATTACATGCCATTACCTCAGGAAGTGTTCCTACCCAGAGGCTCCCGATTGATTTGGGGCCTTCAAACAACCTGGTTTTCAGACCCCCAACCACCTCCGAGGTGTCTTCTTCCATAAGCCGAAGCCGATCGGAGCCTCTGGGCAGGGTTCCTGCTGTGGATGGACGAAATCCTGCACCACTTTGAACCCATGGTTGAAACCACCGTTTGTTGGTATTTACAAGGGAATCGAATCCTGCAAGGCGTTCTTACGTGCGAGAAGCGGATTTCGCAACCATCCACAGTAGAGAAACCCCTTCTGGGGGGGTAAACCGCATGTTTTTCTCTACCTGGTCTCCATAACCCCTTGAAAAATGGGGTCATTGCCCCTTAATTTAGGGGTTATGACCCCATTTTTCTAGGGGTCATGGAGACTGGGTATCCATTTTTGTGTGGTTTTAAAGGACACCAAAAGGAAAACCAGGTTGTTTGAAGGCCCTAAATCAATCAAATTGGAGCCTCCGGGTAGAGACGTTTTCGGCCCTATCCGAGGCGGCCAGTCTGCAGTCCTTGGATTCTCGGCGGCTTATAGCGATCGAATCGCGAGCTCGGCATGTGGGTGGCGCGTCTTTTTTGTTTTTCCTTTTTTTTTTTCCCGGAGCTTCAGTCTTGTTTTTTTTTTTTTTAAGAGCACAAACAACAACAGCACCTTCAAAAGGAATCAGACCCATGTCAGCTCGCCCAAGTAGGTCCTTTGCAAGAGTTCGTGGGATGAGAATTTCACTCCCCGAGTTTTTGGACTTGACACTTTTTAACAAAACCACGTGTGTGGCACAAAGAAGTGTGCGAGCTATTGTGGGGCAATCCACTCAGGAAGTGAGTTAACAGTACGTACCCTCTTCCCAAATCTTCCCAATGGAAGTGGCGGGTTATGATCGTGCAAGCCCATCTTGTTTGTTGCCAGATGCTTTATACGTCACAGACGAGGTTTCTATGTTTTAGTGTCAGGATGTTTATTGTTAAGACAAATCCTGACATTAAGATCTAAAACTTGTTCAAGTAGAGCCACTTTTCTATTTCTATTTACTTCGTTTTTGCAATTGGTTTTGTTTTGGAAATCATTGCATTTAAAAGTTACATCACTTCTCGTTGATATGTTTAAAATCAAAAAACAGTATCATTCATCTTTGCCCAAAGCGAATCGAAAGGGATCTGACCTTATTGTTTTCCCGTGGTCAGTGGCCCGTATTTAGTCAAACTCCCGAAAGCCGAAAGGTTAACCTTTGTTTTCCGGCCTTTTGGGCAAGTGAGATGAACGTTTTAACCCTGGGGGTCCCTGCTGTCATGTATCTAGATTTAACCAGTTCTTCCTGATGGGCACGGGCTGGCTGACTCGTCCAAACTGAAGCTTTGTTTTGTCATCATTGTTTTCTGGTGACTGGAACCAACATAAAAGTTTCAAGGCAACTTATCAGCACCCCCTACCCCCTGCTTTTCTTGGAGCAGTACTTGGGCATGTGGACATGGGGGAAGATTAAAAAACAAAAAAAACAGTTGGGGACTGCTCGCAAGAGCCCCCAAGAAACCCAAAGGGACGCCTGGGAGCCACCAAACGGAAAGAACCTGTTTCCGCTTTTCTCCGGGCGGCTCCCGGCGCCGCCCTCGCGTGGTGGCCTTCTTCTCCGCGGCCTGCTCGAGGGCCTCTGCGAAAAAGGGAAGGGCGACGCGAGGTATCTACAAACCTGTATAGATATATATATATATATATGGGTGTGGCTCAACATTAAACAGGAGGGGTTACGCAGGCGTTGGTCCATGTTTCCACAGGGTTCCATGTTGGCACCGGTTTTTGGAGCCACAGCCATATATGTATGGTCAACCCCCCATGATCTACATTTCTATCCTGTCCTAATAACATCTGTCAGCATGCACATGTAGATCATGGGATATATATATATATATAATGTGTATGTCTACATGAAACATCTAATTTTATGTGAATATGAAAAATACAATATAATATATATTATAGGATCTCCTCCAAACCTATGTATATAAAAATGTGTATGTATATGGTCACCCCCGCCCATGATCTACATGTCTATCCTGTCCATTTTTCAAAAACAACTGTGCGCATGCAAATGTAGATCACAGGGGGGGGGGGGGTGAGCATGTATATATATATATATATACACGTATGTATACATGCAACATCTAATTTAATATATATATATACATATATATATATATATATATGTATACGCTGTCTCACTTCCGGAGCCACAAACAAGTCCAAACGTTCTCCTTGCCAGCAAGATGCTCTTCCCTTCAAAAGTTTACAGTCCAGAAACACAGAGAGTGAGTATATACATGTATATGTATATATATATATAAGGTTGGATCCCCCAAAATGGATTTTGCATTTCTTGGGGTTTCCCGGTACCCTCAAAAACACGTGCCGCCCTGCTGTATTTTAGGGTAGACTACATATTGGAACAGTTTCAGACACTAGGCTGGAATTAAGACCTCAGCAAAAACATATATTTTTTGCCTGGTTAGTGGAAAACAAAGGGACCCCAAAAAAGCAACCAACAAACAAAACAAGGGGAGCGGGAAGGACAAACGTATTTCCGGTGCACTTCAGATGTGAGCAAAGCTGCCCCCTTCGCCCCGTGATCCGTTCTTCTCCCGTTGTCATTTGCACATGTGCGTGCACAGTGCATATGGCTGTGGGTCAAAAATACGTACCCAAAACGGATCCCTGGCAAATGGAAACCTGCACTAAAACCTGCGGTCCCCTGTTGGTTTAATTTTGACCCACACCCATATATTCTCAACGCAAACTCAAATAGCTCGAGCACTACGGAAGTGTTCGTGAAACTTAATTTGGTTGTTGTTTATCTACCCTGCCCTGCTTGCAATTTGGTTCGGACATGTAATCCCCGGAATTGGGCTTTCCCAAGAGAGTACGACAAGATTGAATGGCAAGCAAGGGATGCTGAACTGCACTCCCGTTCAGTTGCACCTTTGCAACTCAACTTTGACCCCGGAGAAAAAAAAAAAAACATATACAACCAGGGGTTCATGCATTCTGAGATTTTAAAATGTGGACATCACTGTGGATGAACAAAAAGTCCAGGTATCCCCAACAGCCCAAGCGCAACCCTCCAGAACTCTCCCTGAAAGCAGCTCCGAACTCCCCCCAAAGCTTACTTGGGCCTATCGAGCCCATAGCTTCCAGCCATTGGGGAAAACACAATCTGAATCGCAAATGGAACATAACAGAGTCAATTGAAACAAAGTGAGTCGTGATACGTTCTGATCATGGTACCATGGTACTCCACAATTCAACAGGTCCAATCTCTTGTTGCAGCAGTAAATTGCTCCTGCAGCAAGTGCTACCGGTACGGGCGCCTTGCAAAGGAGCATACTTGGCTGGCTGACCCCGGTAACCCTCTTGCCATGGTAAGTCCAAGTAGGCTATCAGGTTTCCTAGCCGCTTACCTCGCTCGAACCTTTCAGCACAGTTCCCGGCCTTAGGAGAAGTTTCACGCGCTCAGCACCCGCTTGGACGCGGCCAACGCTGGTGAGCGCGACATGACCCGGCCTTAGGGCTAGGTGCAAGAAAAACACCATTTAAACAGCCGGGTTGCTCCAAACCTCCTGAGCAAAACATCGATCACCGTTTGTAGATGTCATGGAAGAGCCAATTTCTTTCGCAAAGGTGTGCTAGGGTACCCCCAAAATGGCTGTTTTCCTTTTGGTGTCCTTTAACACCACACAAAAATGGGTACCCAGAGTCTCCATGACCCCTTGAAATGACCCCTAGAAAAAGGGGTCATGACCCCATTATTTTGGGTAATATCACATTGTTTTAGGGGGTCATGGAGTCTCCAGGAATCCCTTTTTTAGGTTGATTAGAAATAGCTGGGTTCCACTGGTTTAGATTGGTTTTGGGCCCAGTTACCAGGGGAACCCATCGATTGGTTCGAAAAGGTCATCGATGCCCGGTCCCAATTGAAGAGAAAACCAAGAGGTTGTTTCAGCAATACTTCACTGTTCTTTGCGTGTGTTTTCGTGTTGTTCTTGGGTGTTCGAGGCGCAGGGCAAATTCATCGATTCAACTGGTTGACACATGAGTCAGAATCAACACCCAATATTGACATTGTTTACCCAGGATTTTCCTTTAAGAATAGAAAAGGCGGCGAAAGCACCCATTTATGGTTAGGATCATGCCTTACTAACTTACTAACCTTTTGATCGTCGCTCACATGCTCCAAGAGCTCGTTCATATTCGTCCCGAATCTTGGTAGCAACCAACACAACTTTGTCGAAGCCCCAACAATGAACAGAAAAGAACCACACAACTACTTGCATGTTGGATTCGCCAGGTTCCCGCCATTGAGGGAACAACCCCCTTATAACAAGCTGAACCCCACTCAGGGCGACTTAAATTATAAGTGGGTTGTGTTCTGATTTGGTCCCGCTCAAGTGATCTGGCCCCTTAGATCGGAAGACGCGCAGATCATTTTGGGATCTCGAGAGGGGGGGGGGTCTTTTTCTGCCATTTCAAATAGCAGTAAAATCGTGCTCGGTTGAAAGCATTCGCACGGAGATTCGGTTAATTATGCCTTACTGGTTGATCGGGGGAAGGGGATTTCTTTCGACCCCTGGAAGTCCATTTGAGGGGTGAAGGAAGGGCCCCCTGGCAATAGGTGGGTGTCCGGACCCCCACCTCCCTCTCCCTTCAGCTAATGCCGAGCCAATATTAATCAACCCCAGTTTGTTGAACTCGGGCGCTGGGGGCTCCAAAAGTGGTCTGATTCCCCACATTCCACCCAGGGAAAAGCACCCCCTGGAGTCTTCATGACCCTTGAAAAATGGGGTCATTGTCCAAGAGAAAGGGGGAAGGACCCCAGAACCCAGGGATCACGCAGACCCTAAGTAGGAAGGAAGATTGGGTTCCACTGCTCAGGATTTGTGCCTGGCAAGACTGGAGCGCTATGGACTGGCCCCGGTCCGGAAAACGTCCGATTCCGTGGAGTCCAAACATGCGTCTTCCTGGAGTCTTTTTCTGACCCCCAGAAAAAGCTGGGTGATTTATAACGACCTCACACGACCTCACCCCAAATGGTGGTTTATGTGGGGAATAGCCCCCCAAAACCACCTTATTTCAGGCTGGTGAAACATTTTAATTCACCCAGAAAAAGGGGCCATACTGTGGATGGTTGCGCAATCCATTTCGCACCACTTCAGAAACCCCGGTTTCGGATGATTCCCCTGCAACTACCAATTAAACAATGGTTTCAACCATGGTTTCAAAGTGGTGCGAACGGATTTCATCCATCCACGGTAACCCCTTAATTTTGGGGTAATGACCCACCATTTTTAAGGGGTAATGGAGACTCCAGGATCTGTGGAAAGGGCCTCCTTGTGGCTGCGTGTGTCTCGTCTCCTTTTTGTGTATTCTTTTGAGGAAATCTTTTGGTGGCTTCTAAGAAACTACATGAAACATACGGCATGGGGTTTGTGCCATGCTGATCCAATTTGGAGACAAACCCCTCCATCTTTTGGGTCAATTTGTTCGCCGGTGTCCAAAAGTGCCTGGAAGTGCCGACCCCCCTAAGTTTCCCGATTCTCACAGCGAATCGACCGCCTCTGACCGAAACGCCGGCTTTGAGCTTGTCATTTTAGTGGCCCCGTTTGGGTGAGCGAATTTCTGGGTTCTTCTTCCTATCGCAAGTTGCTGGTTCTCAAATGAAACCCGCGGCTTCTGAAAATTGGGGATTGATCCCGTATTTTCGGTTGAATCTTTCGGGCATGGAATTCCAAAAGAGGGGGGTTGAACATCGACCAACTTTCCTCACAAGGAACGAAACTTCCCATGTCCGATTAAGACCTGCTTTTTGGTTTGAAGGGAATCTACCCCTGGATTTGTTTTATTGTATATAGGGGACTCTACTGCAAATGTTGATGTACTGATTTGCGCAGCTACACCCTGCGGCAGATACCATGGCACCATTCAAACAATGGTTGGACAAGATATAATTACCACTGTTTATCATTCAGGAATTGTCATTGACTAAGGGGGGTTAAACCCTACTGTGGATGGTCAAAGTCCGTTTCGCACCACCTTTCAGAAACCCAACGGTTTCGGATTCGATTCCCCAACATACATACCAACAACCGTCATGGTCAACCATGGTTTCAAAGTTCATGGGGGCTGGGAGCCCACACAAGGCGTTATTAAGCCCTCAAGGCCATATAAAGGTCTCCCTCCCCCCCCTTCCTCGTCCCCAGCCCCCGCGAAAAGTGGTGCGTAGCTAGGCGCCCCAGTAGTTCCCTTTCTCTTCCCTTTTTAAGGGGAGATTCGGTTCCCCTACTAAAATAGACTACAGAAAAACATCGGGTACCCTTATTCTAACCTCTCCACTGGAGGACCCAGTCAGTCACTTCAGCATTCAGTTACTTTAGCGATTTTTGCTTTTGTGCACCCCCGAACCAACCAGCCCCAACCAACCACCACCCCAACCCAGGGTTTAGGTCCAGACTTTTCCGCCCGCCGAAGGAGCCGATGCAGCGCCGGTTCCAGAACAACGTCAACAGGCGGCAAGTCGCGGGAGGTCGCGGGCGCTTTCGCGGGAGTTCGCGGGGGAAGGGGTGGGTTGCAATAGCCGGGAAAACGTTCAGCGACCAACTTCTGGTTGCATGTCAAGGGGACAATGATCCCAAGTGGGACGTTATCTGAATCAGGGGCGCATATGACGGAATCAGGTGCCCTAATCAGGGGCGCGAATCAGGGCCACAGGGCGGTCGAATCAGGCGCAGGAGTTGGTCAAATCAGGGTCCGCTTCGGGTCAGTTTCAGGCAGGTGGCCCGCAGGTCGCCAAGCTTTGCCTAGCGAAGTTTTTTTGCTGGCAAAATGGCGTTCAGCCCAAACAAATGCCCGTTATAGCGCGGCTGTGTGCGCTGGGGCGGCCCGATGCTGGCGGAGCACACAGGTGGCACAAAGCTTTGCCCTGCAATACGTTGTGCTTGTGACGCGGCTTGCAGAGGCGAGCTTCGGTTGTGCGAGCTGGAGCGGCCCTGTGCTGGCCGGAGGCGTGCGAAAACCGCCTGCGGGGGCGAGATTCGTAACAACTTGCGCGCGGTCGGTTCATCGCGGTTGCGTGACCCTCTCATTAAAGGAGGTGCAACGTTACCGAAAACTGCTCGTTCGCGCACACAGCGCGGGCCACGCAGCTTTGCCCTGCGCAGTCTTGCGAAACTGCTTTGTAGGGGCAAGCTTTGTACGACAAACTGCTCGTCAGCGCGGCTGTGCGAGCTGAGGCGGCCCGGGGCTGGCCGCAGCACGCAGGTGCCCGCGGGCCACGCAGCTTTGCCCTGCGCTGCGCAGGTGGCCCGCGGGCCACGAAGCTTTGCCGCGCGCTGGCTGTTCCTTCTGAAACGGCTTGCAACAACTGCTTGTAGGCTGTGGAACGAGTTCGCGGGCGACCCACCAAATGTGGACGGGCTCGCCCGCCGTGCTGCAAAAAGTCAAGGCAGTCGATGATGACGGCCGCAAGTGAGAAGGTGGAATCCAGATTTGACGGGCGAGAATCGCACGACAAAGCTAGCGCGGCTGTGCGAGCTGAGGCGGCCCGGGGCTGGCCGAAGCACGCAGGTGGCCCGCGGGCCACGAAGCTTTGCCCTAGCTGTCTTTCTCTTCCGACACGGCTTGCAGGGGCGAGCTTCGTGCAAAAAACTGTCCGCTAGTGCTTGTGCGACAGCTTTGCCCTGCTGTCTTGCGAAGCTGCTTGTATAGGGGCGAGCTTAGCTGAGGCGGCCCGGGGCTGGCCGAAGCATACAGGTGGCCCGCGGGCCACGAAGCTTTGCCCTGCGCAGTTTTTTTTTACCGCGGGCCACGCAGCTTGTGCGAGCTGAGGCACAACTGCTCATGTAGGCTGCTTGCATAGGGGCGAGCTTAGCTGAGGCGGCCCGGGGCTGTGCGAAGCACGCAGGTGGCCCGCGGGCCACGCGGGCCACAAGCTTCGTGCAAAAAACTGTCCGTTAGTGCTTGTGCGACAGCTTTGCCCTGCTGTCTTGCGAAGCTGCTTGTATAGGGGCGAGCTTAGCTGAGGCGGCCCGGGGCTGGCCGAAGCATACAGGCGGCCCGCGGGCCACGAAGCTTTGCCCTGCGCAGTCTTTTTTTACCGCGGGCCACGCAGCTTGTGCGAGCTTGCTTGTATAGGGGCGAGCTTAGCTGAGGCGGCCCGGGGCTGTGCGAAGCACGCAGGTGGCCCGCGGGCCACGAAGCTTTGCCCTGCGCTGTCTTTCTCTTGCGACACGGTTTGCAGGGGCGAGCTTCGTGCAAAAAACTGTCCGTTAGTGCTTGTGCGACAGCTTTGCCCTGCCGTCTTGCGAAGCTGCTTGTATAGGGGCGAGCTGAGCCGAGGCGGCCCGGGCTGGCCGAAGCACGCAGGTGGCCCGCGGGCCACGAAGCTTTGCCCTGCGCTGTCTTTCTCTTGCGACACGGCTTGCAGGGGCGAGCTTCGTGCAAAAAACTGTCCGTTAGTGCTTGTGCGACAGCTTTGCCCTGCTGTCTTGCGAAGCTGCTTGTATAGGGGCGAGCTTAGCTGAGGCGGCCCGGGGCTGGCCGAAGCATACAGGTGGCCCGCGGGCCACGAAGCTTTCCCTGCGCAGTCTTTTTCTACCGCGGGCCACGCAGCTTGTGCGAGCTGAGGCACAACTGCTCATGTAGGCTGCTTGCATAGGGGCGAGCTTAGCTGAGGCGGCCCGGGGCTGTGCGAAGCACGCAGGTGGCCCGCGGGCCACGAAGCTTTGCCCTGCGCTGTCTTTCTCTTGCGACACGGCTTGCAGGGGCGAGCTTCGTGCAAAAAACTGTCCGTTAGTGCTTGTGCGACAGCTTTGCCCTGCTGTCTTGCGAAGCTGCTTGTATAGGGGCGAGCTTAGCTGAGGCGGCCCGGGGCTGGCCGAAGCACGCAGGTGGCCCGCGGGCCACGAAGCTTTGCCCTGCGCTGTCTTTCTCTTCCGACACGGCTTGCAGGGGCGAGCTTCGTGCAAAAAACTGTCCGTTAGTGCTTGTGCGACAGCTTTGCCCTGCTGTCTTGCGAAGCTGCTTGTATAGGGGCGAGCTTAGCTGAGGCGGCCCGGGGCTGGCCGAAGCATACAGGTGGCCCGCGGGCCACGAAGCTTTGCCCTGCGCAGTCTTTTTCTACCGCGGGCCACGCAGCTTGTGCGAGCTTGCTTGTATAGGGGCGAGCTTAGCTGAGGCGGCCCGGGGCTGTGCGAAGCACGCAGGTGGCCCGCGGGCCACGATGCTTTGCCCTGCGCTGTCTTTCTCTTGCGACACGGCTTGCAGG